ATCTGTGGCTTTTCATACCCAGGTATTTGCCTTCTATAACTAATGTTAGAAATGAAGTTTCGTTCACTTTTAATTGCAGAATTTTTTTTTTTTGTTCAAAATATCTTAAGACAATCCTTGATAAGGTTGTATGCTTTTTTACAGTTATTTTTCAAAAGCAAAGGAATAGTAAGTGAAGAAGCTTATATTCTATTTGTGAGAAAGAATGCTCTTGTGGTGTTAATTCCAAAGTATGGATTAGAAGGTACAGTGTTTTTTGAAGAAAAGGACAAACCAAAGCCACGGCTTACTTACGATGATGAGGTACAGTATTTCTAATGTTTTTATTTTGGCTTTTTTTGGAGGGGGGACAGTTGCAAATGGTACCTATAAAGGGTAAAATTATTTTTGTACCCTACAGAACTTTATGCTAGCTAAGCTTATTGTTTTACTCACAATTTCTCGGCTCAGTGTATCTTCCCATATACAAAAGTTGTTCTTGATTTCTTTCTTTTATACCATGAAAAGTTTTCCCCTCTAAGGAAAACTTGAATTATGCTTTGTCCCTAGTGGACAAATGGATTAAAGTAAAGGAATAAATGGCTGTTTATAGCTCCAAGAAGGGAATTTTTTCAACCAATTCCAAGTGTCTCTTACCTGACACACTCCCTACTTCCCTAATCTTAGTAGAACTACAGAACAATAAATTCTGCCCACATTACCTTTGTGCTCCTGTATAACACCAACAATTTGCCAATTAAAGGGGTGAGGATCCTACAGTTAATTAATATTAATGAAAGGGGGAGGTTTGCACATAATTAGGTCATATGTATGTGAGTTTGTTAGATTAATGGTTTTTGTTATGTTGAACACCTAGATGCTGAATAAATATTGAAGTTATTTTAGAATTTAAACTTTTAAATTAATATGGAAGATAAATTATAAAGAATTAGAACCAAGCCTCAAGTGTAAGAAAGCAATTAAAAATAGTAAAATGTGTTTTGTTTAGATACCATCACTTAAAATAGAAGATACAGTGTTTCATATATTTGATAAAGTTAAAGTGAAAATCATGTTAGACTCATCTAATCTTCAGCATCAGAAAATCCGAATGTCCCTGGTAGAACCACAGGTAAGACCAAACTTAGAGTGTCCATGTTGTGGTGGAATAAACAGTATGTATTTTGTGAAAGAGAGTGATATAGTTATAAGTTATTCCTGTTTAAGGATAGAATCCTGTAAGTATTGTGGAAGACAAATATCTGCATAGGAAATCCTATTTTCTCACTGATTTCCTTAGGCCATGGAAACCCAGGCATCTGGGCTTCTTCTGAGGTCCTTGGGGCCAAAAGTGGAGTTCTGAGATCTGCCTAGTTCCTTCTGAAATCTGCACTTTTGAAGATCAAGTTAAAGTGTGTTTCCACCTAAGACATTGGTTCTTAACCTTGGCTCTGCCCCCGACACACCTGAGGCCTCTGATCCTGACAGAGTGGCTCACAGCTAGGATAAATTGAACGTTTTGGTTAAACCCACCCTTCCCAAATGACATGCTTCTACCTGCTGAGATCATGTCTGCCTTTTACGTTCTGAACCACTGTTCCTTTGTGTGTGAAATATATACCAACACATACATCCTGCGGAAAATCTGCTCCTTCTTCCCCCTACCACCCCTGCATCTTTTTGAACTTAAAAGCGTCAGTGGGGAAGGGGAAGATGAGAAAGATTTATTCCTTATTTTACGCTTTTACTCACCTATTTTTCCCATTTGCATTACTTTAGATACCAGGAATAAGCGTTCCTACTGATACTTCAAACATGGACATTAGTGAACCAGAGACAAAGAAGAAGAAGCTTCAAAAATAGCTACAGTCAAGGAAAAAAAAAGCTTCAAAGATTGGTTTCCTTAAAAAAAAAAATCTTGAGGGAACACTTGTAAACCTAAGAAGTGTGTGATACAGTTTGTTACTTCTAAGCACATTTTAATAATTTTTAAAATTTGCATTTTTATTGAACTGTTGACTGTGTCTGTCCCATCATACTACTTCCTTTCTGGATTGAACAGAACTATTTATGCAGAAAAATTCGATTGAATAACCATCACTTAAATAGTGACAGGATAACAACTTGAGGGATCTGTAAAGATCATTTAAAGGGAGCACTCATCTGCTCACTGAAGAGATGAATTTTGCATAAGTAATTTGATTATCTGCTATTGATAGAAAAAAACTATAATTTTCCTATGGAGAAAATATAACATTTTTAGAAGGAACAGTCTATTCTTTCTGAGTCTTGAAAGCTGTCAGTGTGTGGTATACGGCAGTTTTTAGATTTCAAGACAGTGAAGTCAGGAGCTGTCAGGGACTTCAGCATTTAATCTCCTTTGCCACCTTTAATTTACCTGACTTATACTAAGCGTTCCTGTACTGTTAAAAAGCCTCCTGCATTTTATTAGTGGTTCTTGAACAGCTGTGAATGTTTGGGAATTGGGTGTTGAAGGAAGGTGAAGTAGAATATTTTGATCTAACTGGAAAAATAGTTGTTTATTTAATACCAGATAATAAGTGTGATCATCATCCTTGACCTTCAGCTCAAATATCTCCCCGAAAATAAGGCATTAGGGTTCAAAGAAAGAATAGAGATGGCCCTTTAAACATCACATCGTGTTACTTATAAAATAAGGAGGCAATTAATAATGGCTTTTACATTGCATATATATCAGATTATAGAGGAAAGGAGGGGTTGCATGAGGACATTAAAGGGAACAGATTGAAGTACTGCTACTTGGTGTGCCCGTGCCTACTTCCTTGTCAACCACAAAGATTATTAATGATAAAATAGGTGTCTTCAAGAATATTTCGAGATAGAGTTACCTTAAAACATTTTACTTGGCTCATTCAATTTCTGAAGTACCGACACTGTACCAGGTTCCTCACCAGTCAAGTAAACGATCTCTGCCCTGAAGGAGCTTGCAGTACAGTGAGAAGTGACTGGCGAACATATCGGCAGGTGTAGTAAGTGAGCATAGTGCCAATGTGTACATTCAGGCACTTCAGTAATTAAAATGATTGTTCCCATTTCCTGTTACTGAGGAAAACATCCATACATTGAGGCAGAACTTGTTTCATTCGGAGGAGAGCCTTGAGGGGACTAACGCCTAAAGCGGTGGGCAAGCCTTTTCTGTGAAGGCCGGACAAGTCAGGCTGTGCCAGCCAGGTGGTTTCTGTCACAACCATAGCTCTCCACTCACTCCTCTGCTCTTACATAACGAAAGCAGCCACGGACTATAAACAACCGAGCATGGCTACGTTCCAACAAGACCTTGTTTACGGGCAGGGAAATTGAAATAATTTCCTAATTTTCGTGTGTTTAACAAACTACTACTAAATTCAATTTCCATGCTGCACCTCTCCCCCCAGCCATTTAAAAATTCTTTGCTCATGGGCCATAGTTTACCTGCAGTCGAGGAAAAGGAAGGCTTCTGGGTAAAACAAGGCTATGCTGACCTCACATCTGTCTTTCCAGGTTTGTTTTCTTACACCTCTTCTATGAAGAAGGCCTGCTTCAGGCTCTAGTCCCTGTTGAGTAGTTCAAGATGACCAGAAACCTTATTTTCACCCTGAAGCCTCTTCCTTGCTAATCTAAAATGCTTTGAATGCCACTACTTATGCTACGCAGCTGACATGAAATAGTTCATTTAAAAAGCCCTGTTTGAGCTTCCCTGATGACGCAGTGGTTGAGAGTCCGCCTGCCGATGCAGGGCACATGGGTTCGTAACCCGGTCCGGGAAGATCCCACATGCCGCGAAGCCTGCGCGTCCAGAGCCTGTGCTTCGCAACGGGAGAGGCCACAACAGTGAGAGGCCTGCATACCGAAAAAAAAAAAAAAAAAAAAAAAGCCCTGTTTGGTAAGGACTATTATCCCCATTTAACCGGTGGGAGATTGATGGTTTATGGCCTATTTGGGGTCATAAGTGACAGAGGAGGATTTGAATCCAAGTTACAATTACAACTTTGTTGTTTCTTGAGTTTTGCTATTAAAAAAAACACAGCCAGGGAAGCACCTACCCTTAGGATCTAGAATTCCTCTTATGTACAATTGTTTTAAGCTCCTATTAATTCTAAAGCCTGTGACTAAGGACTCAGCCTCCTAATGCACTAATCTTTAGCAATGGACCTAGTGGCTAATGGCTTTAATGTTTAGTGTACAGAGGGGAGAGGATGAGCCAGGTACGTAGCAAGAAATAAGTCTTGCAGGTTGGCAGGAAGTTTACAAGTTGCAGAAAAGTAAGGAAGGACGTGACACAATGATAGTATGTCTTTATTTCCTAGGGCTACGTATGAATTATTCCCTCCTGAATGAGACAGTTTTTAAAAGGTAATTTGTAAAATATGAGTATACATTCTCCCAAGGTAAAGAATATTTTTCGTCCAAATTATATACCCATTCTACTCCCAACATGAATATGTTTGTTTAATTTTAAAAATTTAGTTACATGTCTGTCCAACCCTAGCTTCATAAGCCTAAAACTCTATGGGAAACCCTCCCCTCCCAGCCCCCCAGTTTTTCCTGGTTCTCCTGTGTTCTTAACTAACTCCTCTCTATACAAAGGATGTTCCCTACCCTAGGGATGGAGATACATTCTGGGCATCCCACATTAACCCCACTAATAATAACACATGAAGATCTACACTTTTTAGACCAGTTATCACTGGAACTAAGAATTTCTACACTGAAATGAACAAACAGCTCAAGCATGAAAAGTGTTGGAAACCTGCTTAACCTCCTTTCTACCTCTTTGATTAAGTTTCCTTTCTAACTCACATTTATTTCTTTCACCAAGGTTATAAATTTGAATTCATCTGTATATTCACATACTTTTAAGTAAAATAAAACATAGCACCTTCACAGTTCCACATGTTCCCAGAACTTCTGCTAAATTCAGTGCTGTCAGTAAAGTGACCCTGTAGGGCAGGAGCAAAGTTATCACTCAAGTTTTTTGTTAAACAAACATATCACTCAAGGTCAGTACAAAAATATTTATTGCTAAAAGCTGAACTTGTACTTCAGTAACTTCTTTGAAAGTTCCAGGAGCTTTTCTGTTGTCACTAAATTAAGCCCTTGGTTTTTCACATTAAGGAGGGAAAGAAAAAAAGCTCAGCATGTTAGTTGAAGCAGTTTCTTCCCCATCACGATCACATTATGGATCCCATGCATGAAAAATATGTGAGGAGCTGTCCAGTTAGAGGCTTTGGTTCTGAGAGAGGTGCTCTACGGGCTGCTGCATTGAGGCCGATTTGCAATTTTCATCCAACACCTTTGCATTGAGTGGTCTTGCTGTGAAAAAGAAAATACCTTATTTTCAGTTTAAATAGGACCATTCAAGGACACAACAATTATGTGAACTGTTTTTAAAACCGAGATGCAAACTTCCTTATGCACTCTAAAGGGACAGTGAAGATACATTTTGTTACAAATCAGTATTCTGTATCATAAGAGTACTTCCTGTATCTTAATGCTTGCTTGCTTTTAAATGGACAACTACAATCCCACCTCATGACAAAACGGAGGAAAGGTAAAATAATGTGGCCTCCATATTAAACTTGAATATTCGTTTGGAGAGTTATGTTTAGTTGCACACTTGATATTTATTGTTTATTAATAAACTTGCACATAAAAATCAAAAATTCTCCTGATCAGTGCCTAAAATTATGATGGGATTCTTCAAATCTGAATACAGTTGCCCTTCAGTATCCATGGGGGATTGGTTCCAGGACCCCCAAGGATACCCAAATCCATGGATACTCAAGTCCCTTATATGAAATGGCATAGTATTTACATATATTTTAAATCATCTCTAGATTATTTATAATACCCAATACAGTGTAAATACTATGTAAATAGTTGCAAATACAACATAAGTTCTATGTAAATAGTTGCTGGCACATGGCAAATTCAAGTTTTGCTTTTGGAACTCTGGATTTTGGGGTTTTTTTTGCCCTGAATATTTTTGATCTGAGGTTGGTTGAATCCATGGATGTGGAACTCGCCAACCATATAGAGACATATCCATCCTATCTGGAGGTTCAGTAAGTGTTCACTTCAACAGTATACTTTTGTATAAATACTCAGTTTTTTAGATACACATATGTTATCTCTAAAGGCTTGGATTTTAAGAAAAGAACCCTTAGCTTTGAGTGCTCGTAACTGATGTGTAAAATCTCTCAGTTGTACTATTTCCCTCTCTAGTAATCAAGATGCTGTTTTTAGTTTAGCTTTGAGCCAATATTAGAGGCAAAACCCTCCACCTCCCTCCTATTGGGCACCCTCTCCTGTTCCCCTTTTCGCTTAAAGGAACTGATTTCAAGCCCCATTTCCAGAGCAGCGCTAGCTCTCCTTCCCCCACCTCTTCTCTTATGCTCCCTCATAGCAGAAGAGGTAGGAAAATAAAGTTTTGAAGCACTTTCTCCTGCTATTAAATGAACTGAAGACAGGATGAGGCATCAACAGATAGCAATTAACGAGATTTTACACAAAACGGGAAAAAGATAGGCTGAAAACAGTCACATTTAGTAAATACTTTAAAAACTACAACCATATCAAGCTTTCTCTGTTTTTTCCATACCTTTATATTAAAAACTTGAGATTTATTCTCGACTTCCAAGGTTTGTGCATCACTTTCTTTGCAGTAACTTTCTGCTCCAACCGTATCCATAATATTGCTTCCACAATTCTGTGTATTATAGCCACTATCCATCTGACAGGAATGAGAGGGCGAGAGAGAAAAAAAACCACCACAGGTAACATTGCAAAGTGTAATTCACTTGACCACAAAATTTATTTTGAGGAACTTTTATGTTTAAATAAGTAAATTTATTTTAAAATATTTATATAAAAAATATATATGTAAGATTTGGATTATGTAATTATATATAAAGACAATATTTTAAAACATTTAAGTGAATCACTACTATTATTCACAACTGAATGATACAATTTAATATTGTATTAATACAATTTAATATTGATCATATTGAATGAATTTAAAAAGTAATAAACATAAAATTGCTTGTTCTTCAAAGTAGTTACTACAATTCCTTCTAATAAAACATATCTTGTAATTTTCTTTATTTTTTTTAAATTCTAGGTTATTTTATTTTATTTTATTTATTTTTTGGCTGCGCCACGCAGCATATGGGATCTTAGTTCCCTGACCAGGGATCAAACCCTCGCCCCCTGCAGTGGAAGCGCAGAGTCTTAACCACTGGACCACCAGGGAAGTCCCTGTAATTTTATTGAAAGTCAGTGTACAAACCACTAAGAACATACTTCCCTGTTACTTTGTGCTCACACCCAGTAGATGAAAATGAAGATTACAATCAACTTCTTCCAACTCATTTACCAAGCTTGTCTTAAATGGCTTACTTGCATCTCTAAATAAAATTTACCTAAATGGCAAGCTACCTTTAAGAGGATTCAAAACAATACACATTTTTTAAAAGGTGGCTTACATTATACTCATACCCATCGTTGAAATAAAAATCTTACCTTCATAATAATACCACGTACATAATGGCTCTAGATGTTAGCTCAGCTTTTCATTTTAATTAAAATTACAGCATTCTACAACACACTGTTACAGCCCAAAAGAGCAAAAGAAAAAAAGGGACTAGCAAACTTCAGTTTTGGTACAAATATGCCAAATATTTATTTCATGAGGGCCTAAAAAAAGCACCAGCCCTGTACGGCGCTCCATGTAACATTCTTATTTTCTCCTTGCAGCACCCTATTAACTTCACAAATGAGGCTAAGGCTCAGAAAGGGTAACTTTCACAGTGTCGGAATGAGATGACGAAGAGCTGAGGCCCCACTGCCCCTGTCCACTCACTGCACACTCCACACTTAAGTGCACAGTGACAAACACCAAACAACACAACCCACAATGCAGTCATCTTGCACTTACGCCCTTTTATGCAAATTATGATCAGCGAAGGAAAGACTACATTTGCCCCCAACACAAACAAAAGAATAGCCTAGAAAGTGCATTCTATCATCATCTTAAGAAAAATGTTTCCAGTTTTCAGGAATGGATGCATATTTGTTTACTCCTGGGAGTGACGTTCCATTTGAACAAAACCCTTGTGGTGCAGGGAGTACGGTACACAGGGAGTCTGTCCCACTCTCTAGGAAGAGAAGGATCATGGTGCCCCTAACATAACATGGTGGCTTATCACACTGGCTCCCATTCAGACCACTACTAATGTCAGTGCCTACTATGTGCCAACCAGACAACACAGGTCATCTCGTTAACCGCCACAGGCGTCAAGGGAGACAACACGGTATTCCAAACTCTGGAAAGCCAATGTGACTGAAACAGAGAAGGAAGGGAAACAAAATGAGGCTGGAGAGTAAGGGAAAGGCCAGACCACGCAATGCTTTGCCAGCCACTCTACAGATTTTTTAATTAACACCAAAAGCAAAACAAACAAAAGAGTTACAAATTTAAGATTAAGATGCAGAAATAAAAACTCAATGGAAGGGTTATTGTATGAAGCTGACCAAATTTCCCAAAAATTAGAACAAAAGGGAGTTAAAAAAAACTGTGAAAAGATTTTTTTTTAATTGGAGAATCAAAAGGAGTTCCAAAGAATGGTGAAAACGAGAGGAGAAATCTAAGATATTATTCAAGAAAAGATCCAAGAAGTGAAGGGCATGAGTTTACAGATCATAAGGGCCCTCTGAGTGCCCAGTACAACTGATGAAAAGGAACCCATACCAAATAATCACTGAAATTTCAGGATCCTTTACTCCAGAAAGGGATAAAAAGAGACCATATGCAAAAGATTAAGTATTAAAATGGTTTCAGATCTCTCACCAGCAACACTGAAAACAGAACGAAAGAAAGTCTGAAGGAAAATTATTTCCAAACTCAAATGTGAGAGAATAAAGAACGTGTGATCAGACGTGCAGTATCTTGAAAAAGGTACTCTTTCTCAGAAAGCTACTGGAAAATGTGTTCCAGTCAAGTGAGAAGTAAACCAGGAAACAGGAGAACGGGGTACAGAACATGCGAGAGGTTAAGGGAATTCTCAGGATGATGAAGGGATATTCCAGGAATACAGCTGTGTACAATGCTTGGAGGCCAACCCGTCACAGTAAAGCAAGTCAAAGGGCCCTGGGAAAATGTGACTGTCTTCGAATGTTTGGAGCTACCCCTGTGGTAGGAAAGAATGTATAGAAAACATTTTTAAACTACAAAATGTTCTGCGAACAGTACACATTATTATGATATGACCCAAAGGATAAGACTGAAACTGACTGGTAGATACCACAGACAGAACCATAGTTCAGCTCGCTAGGGAAGAGGCTTGTAAATGGTGAGAGAAGTCCTCTAAGATGGGCTGGGATACCCCTGCAGGTACTCAGGCAGAGTGATGGCAACTTATGAGACAGGCTTCCAAGGGGTAGGTGGACTGGATGATTAATGTGTATTTCCATCTAAGTATTCTCTAATGCTTCTATAGATGCTCTGAAAAAAAGAGGCAGTAAGAAAAAAGGAGAGCAAAAAAGTTAACAATACCTTTAAGGCTAAGTTTGACTGGATGCGCTTCTTTACTTAGGAACCAAATTTAGAAGCTGGAATATGTAAAAGCGATTCTAGTGTATTTTTTTGAGCAACAATCCTAGAAGTCAGGATAGGCAGCATAGGCATAAAATATGAGCAAAAGATTATATGTAATTTGGGATCATTTAAAATCCCTCCATGAGTTTTACACTTTAGCATGTCAAAACTGACAGCACTAAAGCATTATAGAGTTGTTGTGAGAATTAGATGAATTAGTATCTATAAAGAGGTTAGAAGAGTGTCTGGCACACTGTAAGACTGTGTAGTATTAACTATTACTATGGGTCAGTATAAACTTGGATTAAAGAACATGGAATCCAGACTGCCAGGATTTGAATCTTTTGACTCCACCACTTGCTAGCTATACAGGCAATTGACCGAACCTCTCTGACTCTCGGTTTCCTCATCTGTAAAACATGGATGATGGTATACCTATTTCACAGGACCATTGTGAAGATTAAACAAATTAACATGTGTAAAGTACTTGGAATAATGCCTGACATATTGTAAGAGCTACATAAGTGTTAGATATCGTTACTATGAAATGGCAGGTAGAATTGCCTTTCTAGTTTAAAGTTCTTTCAAAACTCTCAACTCAAAGAATATGACAGTTAGTGGAACAAATGTCTTTCTGAAAGTAAATGCTAGCTGTGAAGTGTATTTGTCAAATGAATCATGCTTTCCTGTTGCCAGATGTTGCAAAATTGGAAATGTATGGTTACATGAAAAATGGTGGTTACAAATCACATTTTTTTTAAAGTCCAAAAGAAATATACATAAAAGTGCTCTAAACTGCTTTTCCTAAATTATATAAAGGAAAAACCAAAACTACTGTATTTTTAGAATACAAACACTACACCAAAAACTGAATTCTTTGGGAACTAGCTCCACAGGAAAGAGAGGTGAACCCTGAGAAGTTGCCGGATTCTAGCAGTTTGTAAAAACAGAGCAGCTTGATTTCTTTTCTGCTCTCTTATTTTCCTACTCCAAATAAATATCAGTGAATGTGAATATTAAATATATGTGTCATCAGTCCAAGTTAAAAGAACTAACCCTCTTGATATCACTTAGTACTGATTAAAAATACATATGTAATGCTGTTAAGTCTCACATACAACCCATTTTCTTTCTCACTATAATCTTACAAAAGAAAGGATGAAGAACAAGGGACCAAGGAAAGGACTCTAGAATATTCAAATACCTTACCTGAATGTTACTGCTTTCACAAGGAATGACACTGCTTTCTGCGAGAGGTGACATGCACATGTGAGAGTTTTCAATACTGAAGGCGATCCCACTCACAAAGTCAGTCATGGGTAAACTCCTATTGTCAACGGGCTCCTTAATCCAAGTGGTCTCATCTGCTATCTCTATGGGATCGACCATATCCACAGTGTTATTCTCCTTCTCACTTTCCACATCCTGAAGCAGTGCCAATTCTTTCTCAGAAGCACCGGACTGGTTCTGGGTAATAGACATGGCGGTCACTACCAAGTGCGCGCCATGTGGACAAGTGTCACCATCCAACTGCGGCAGGTGGACTCCAGCCGTGCCCAAAGCTAGGGAGGAGGCGTCTGTGGAAGGAACATCTGCCTTGTCTCCTTCATCTTCGCTGTGAGCCTCGAGAGTAAAAGGTACCCGAATCAGTGAGGGCCGATACTTAGCACCCCCTGTACACATCTCAAGTCTCATAGGAGACCAATTTTTAATTGGTGAGCAGCCATCTATATAAGGACTTCTGATACACGGATTGGTAATTCCATTAGAATTTGTTCCAGACGAAGCATCAGGAGAATGGAAAGTTAACTTCCTTTGCTCTAAAAGATTGGGAGTGGAAAAAAAAAGATTGGGAAGGAAAAATCACATCATGAAAACATGGACATGGGAAAGCCATTACTAAATGGTCATCATCATGTTTCATGCCAGAAAAACTGGATTTCTCTAACAGTGGTGTTGTTTCCTGAAGTGAAATTTTGGTGTTAAAAATAATAGCACAAATGAATGTGTATCCATAAACAGGGTGAGGCTCTTCAAAATATAATTCCTCTGGCAAATATCCTCAAGCATATTGCTACTATAACAATGTTGTTCACATCCAAGATAATAGAACAAACCAGCTGATAGCTGCAAATTAACAGCTGTACCTGGTAAATGAAATATGTAATAATCTATTTCTGTTTATGTAAAATACTATAAGCAACATTAAAAGGCAAACAAAAAACTGCAAAATAATATTTGCAACAATAAAGAGCTTAACAATGGTAAACAAAATAATCAAAATGCCTTAAAAGTTAATAATTTTTATAGCTTTGTTAGCTTAATAAAAACAAAAGTTTAAAAAAATGGGCAAAAGCATATAAACAATCCTCCCAATGGTAAATGAACATATGAAGTGTTTGGTCACACAAATAATAAAAAATATGGAAATTAAAGCAATGAGAGACCATTTGTTCAACAAAAACACTGAAGTCTGAACTAATAATCCCCCCAAACAAATGACCCATAAACATTTGGAAAAAGTTCAACATTGTAATAACCAAAGACAAGAAAATTAAAGCAGTAAGAGACCTTTTTGTAATGTACCAAATTAACAAACATCAAAAAGAATGGTAAGACCAGTGTTGCTAGATGGGGAAAAAGATGACTTTTCACACACCACTGATGAAAATTTCAATTGGTACAACTTCTTATGAGGAAAATTTGATAAAATTCCTCAAGAGCCTTAAAAACAGTCATCCCCTTTCACCAAATAATTCCACTTCTGAGAATTTAACCTAAAGAAATAAATATGTACAATACACTGTACATACAAGGAAAAAAAAGAAATAATTTAAATGTTTATCAATGATTGAAAACAAAAGATACATCTGTGAAATGGAATATCATACAGTGATTCAAAATCATGGTTTCAAACAATAATAAATGACTTGAATGACCTACGAAAATACTCCTAATAGAATGCTTTGTGAAAAAAGCAGGATATAGAACTATGTGTGTGTGTGTGTGTGTGTGTGTGTATGTGTTCATATATGTATGGAGATATATACACACATACACATGTACATATATAAAAGGAAGACTAACAAAAATAGTTTTCAGTTTTCCAATTTTATTTACTATGAATAGGTTTTGTAAACTATGAATAATTTTCAAGAAGTGCTATAATTTTTTTCAAGGAAAAACTGACATATTGCAAAGAAAAATATGTAAATTCTCACACACTACCTAAAAACTTTACTCAAACAAATATATCTTTACACAATATCAGTATGAATATCTGATTACCAAAGTCTGAACCTACACACTGGAAGGCATACCGAAACCAACTTATCTCTACGACAGCCATCTTTCTTTGATTCTGCTTGTAAGATGTTTGGTATAAATACTGCTAGTCAAATTACCTGTATCTGACATGAGAGCAGAACTTTGCTGAGAATTTCAGTCTTTGAAAGTAAATTGTTCCTTTTGTAAAAAAAAAAAAAAATCCAAGTTTCTAAATTTTAAAAGGGTGAGTGGTCATTTGGAGCTCTGTAGTTAGAACAAGCTAAAAAGAGACTCTTTAATAACAAATATTGACAATATAAAATTTTAATTGGGGGTTGTATTACAAGACATACCTGAGAGTGGTGTCTTTCCTATTTGAAATGCAATTGGTGAGAAAGTGGGTGAAGAAATAGGTGAAGGACTGGTTATGCTTCCCAAACTGTATTTTTTTGCACTACCCTGAATAGGGCTAGAAGAAAACTGCCCCTGTGATAAAAATAAATAAATAAAATTAAAACGGTTCTCTTCCTTAGCTCTGTTACACCAAGTGCTATTTATCTTTATTTTTGAAACACATTCATAAACTAGGTTGTATAACTTTGGTTATTCACCAGAAAGCAAGATGCCACCTTTGCTTTGTGGCAAAAGGCAAGACACCAAAAGGCAGGCCCACAGACACACGAAACAAACTTATGGTTACCAAAGGGGAAGGTGGGGAGGGATAAATTAGGAGTTTGAGATTAACATATACACACTACTACATATAAAATAGATAATCAACAAGGATCTACTGTACAGCACAGGGAACTCTACTCAGTATTTTGTAATAACCTATAAGGGATAAGAATCTGAAAAAACCATATATACGGATGTATAACTGAATCGCTTTGCTGTACACTTGAAACTAATAAAACACTGTAAGTCAACTATACTTTAATAAGAAAAAAAGGTAAAACAACAACAACAACAACAAAAAATGCCAAAAGGCAAGGCATTTTGTAACAAGGATAGTTAAGAAGACTGTTCCAAAAATTCTGAAATAGAATATACTAGAGAAGATAAAATATAAATGCACCGTATTTACACAAACCAAGTAGCAGTTTATGAAAAATTTTAAGTTAGTCCACTAACACCAATCTAGTTGTGTTATACTGAAACTCTTCCGTAATTCAGTAAGTACCTTACCCTGAAATTCCTTGAGACTCATTTACCTCTAAATACAAAATTGGAGAGTCTGACCAAAAGCATTCCTATACCTAATGACAAAATGTGAACTAGGCTAATCTGCATGAAATATAAAACCCAAAAGACAATCATTCCTCTTGACAGCAATAGGAGCATCTAGGTCCAAGATGCCTATAGCCAACCAACCAGCCACTTGGCCCACTTCTTACCGAACTCGGGGTCTGCACAGGGCTCCTACACTGCACAGGAGATAGATCTATTGAATAAAAAACCTCAAGTGATGCTTGAACACCACTACGAGGACTTCTGGGAGAAGCTGGAGGTAAGGAGTCAGAGATACTTCCGTTGCCATCTAAAAATAGCTTTCTTCTGAGGGATGAAGAACTGAGGTTTCCGGGAGATTGATCTGCAAATTCATCAGCTCTAAAATAGTCACCTATATTTAATATTAACAGAATAAAAGGCAGAGCTAGTCATTTGGAAGAGCAATTATATTTCAGTTGTCTGATGTTTTAAAAACCAGTCTCTATGTTTGAACTGTTTTCCAAAAAGAGGGCAAAGTTTAACTGCACAGGTGCTGCTTGAAACCTGAAACGATTCCTTCTTTTTTTAGTGCCTCATTATGAGTATGGGTAGTGCCAATAAGATGTGTTCATGAATAGTTTATGTCTATAGTTAAGTTCACTATGATAAAAAGGCTAATTCAGGCCATATTAAAGAAAAATGAGAAATTTCAGGCTTCCCCACTTCTTTAGAAAGAGGCATTGCCACAGATTCCCACTTACAAAAGCCATTAAAACAAAACCTTTTATTTAAGTTATTAAAGGTTTAAACAAATACAATACTTACCTAATACCTTTTCTAAATTAAAATCCACAGGAAGAGACAGTAATGTCTGGCAAGCAGCTGGAAGCAAGCAGATAAACACAAACATGGTCAAATCAATGCAAGTGTATCCCATGCAGTTTAGCATGTGCTTCCCCATCAACCATCTCCCCATGATGCTCCAGACAAACTGAATTATTTACTTTACGCATCCCATTCCATAACATGCCACCTTCCTGTTTCCCACACTTTCCAGCACTGATGTAAACCTGTTAATGGTAAAAGATAACTTCTGGTTGTGCTGCTGGCACTTGTATCAGAAAAGAAGCCAGCCTGGGCTTCCCTGGTGGCACAGTGGTTGAGAGTCCGCCTGCCGATGCAGGGGACACAGGTTCGTGCCCCGGTCCGGGAAGATCCCACATGCTGCGGAGCGGGCTGGGCCCGTGAGCCATGGCCGCTAAGCCTGCGCGTCCGGAGCCTGTGCTCCACAACGGGAGAGGCCACCAACAGTGAGAGGCCTGCGTACCGCAAAAAAAAAAACAAAAAAGAAGCCAGCCTATATATATTTGGGGATAGATTTCCCAATATTAACAAATTTTCAAAAGAATGCCTTCCAAAACCAAAATTCGATTCACATGATTTGAATCACAAAATAACACACTATTGCCACTTCTCAAACATGGATGGATATATCTATTCTGTTTCTCAAGGTCAGCTCTCATATAGCTTATTCATAAAAAGTAAACAACTTCAATTCCAGAGTGAAGTGTTATCACATGTACTGAAATTAACATCAAATGTCGCTTAATATGGAACATACTTCTTTTCCAATTTACATTCATACTCACCATTGCTTGTCTCAGAATGTACGGTCAGCTTTCTTCCAATTGGAGATTCATTATTGACGTTAATACCTGTAAAACATTCTAAGTGAAAAATCTTACATTTTCTGTTCTTCATTTACTTTAGGGTTACTTTTTCCAGAGTAAAAAAATGAAGTGTGGAAACTTTTACATTTAAAAAATAAATGTCTGCATATGTAAGTATATAACTTGGCATGTTTCTGCTAAGTTTGTTTGTTTTTTTATTGATTGATTGATTGTCAACTTTGAGGAAGCATAAGGATAAGACTTAAGGATTACCACAGCAAGTAAGGCGGCACCAAGAGATACTTTTTAGGGAAAGCAGCGTTGCTCTACATGACGTCAACCTTAAAAGGTTGGGGACACATGTTAGTCAACGTCAATGTCCTCAAACAGATCCTCTGTTGCTTGATGCTTTTCCAAAATGGAAATAGATAAATTGTCGGAATTAAAGTGCCAGGCCATTCTGAAAGAAACTGAAATTTGATCAATAAAACCGTGCTCAGTTTTTTTTTTTTTCGCCGAGAGGAGTCAAAAATATGGGTGCAAATAATTTTTTTAAAAATCTGAAGTTAATGACTAATATTAAGCTTCTTAACTTGAAAAAGCACCAGGTAGTAAATAAATGGGTGAAAAAATAGAATTCTAGATTCAAATGCCTTCTCTGCTGTAGGCAGTGTGACCTTCTAGAAGGCAAATGCAACCAAGGCACTCTGCTGCGAAAACTCTGTAATGTCCTTGGTCTTTAGGCTGGAGTCCAAACACCTTAATGGTGTAAATAAAGCCCTTCCAAAACCTTGTCTCTGTCTCTAGCACAGCTGTCCTCCAACCGAACATTATCTGAATACCTTAAAAAACAAACAGGTTCTCTCTCTCACCTCTAGGTATTTCTAATATTCTTTCCTCTCTGACTTTTCTGCCCTATTCCCCGAGTCCGGCTAACTCAAGTCTCAGCTTAAACTGTGTCTTCCATCTAGACAGGATTATTCTCACACCACTTTTCAACTGTATTGCAAGTGTTTTCTTGGTTGTTTCCTCTAAAAGGACTTCATAGATAACTTTAAGACCACAATCAAATGAGGAAAAATGGATGGATTTGATTACACCAAAATAAGAATTTCTAGGCAACCAAAGACATCAAAACAAAAGTAGCACATATGTGACTGGAGATGACATGTGAAATGTTTAGAACTAAGATAACTACAAATGTAACTACAAGGTATCTTAGAAATTCAAAGGAAAAAGAAAGAGACAACAACTCCAATAGGAAGGAATTAGAAATAGGCATTTTACAAGAGAGGAAATAAAAAGGCTGTTAATATATGAGAAATGAAAATTAAAACCATCATTTAGAATGTCAAACAACCCATGAGAAAGGCAAAAATGTGAAAGCCACGTACTGGCAGGGATGTGGGGATATGGGAACCCTAGGCACTGCGGGTGGCTGTGCAGACTGTACAGTCGTTCTGGCGAGCAGCCTGGCGCCGCACAGTCAAATCAGAAAACATGTAGCCTATAACTCAGAAATCCTCAGCCTATGTATAGTTCCCAGAGAAATTCTTGTTCAAGTCCATAAATAAAAATGTAATGGGTAGTACAGTCATTGAAGCACCTTGCTGCATAAATACTGGTAACAGTAAAAATTGACAGCATAAGCTAATGTGTACAAACAAAATCATTGTTCCCCCTGACTCACCATTGTCTTTGTTATTCTTCGGGTAAATAACACTGAGCACTTACCATGTGCTAGGTACATGATCTTCGAAGTATTATCTCATTTCATCATTTCATAGGGAAGGAGAGTGAGGCACAGGAAAGCTAAGTAGTTCACACAGCTACCAAGCTATACTGGGCATGACTCAAACCCAGACGGCATTACTGTAGAGTGAGGGTCAGCAAATGATAGCTCATGAGACAAATCGGGCTGGTTCCCTATTTTTGTAAATAAAGTTTTACTGGAACACACCCACACTCGTTCATTATGTATCATCAGGGATACACTTTCATGGTAAAGCAGCAGAGTTGACTGGTTGCAACAGAAACTGTATGGTCTGCAAAGCCTAAAATATTTAATATTTGGTCCTTTACAGATAGAGGTTGCCAATCTCTACTCTAAGGTAGTGTTTTCCAGAACTTCTTCTGTGATGATGGAAATGTTCCATATCTGTGCGGGACAATATGGTCACCACTACGTGCGGCTACTGAGCACCTGAAATGTGCATGTATGAGCAGGAAACTAAAATTTTAATTTATTTAAATGTAAATAGCCACATGTGGCTAGTGGCTACCATATGTCAAGAACTGTAAAGGGTCTGACAGGTTAGTGTGTCAACGTTGCATAGATGCTGGCTGAAGAAAGGAGGCTTCGGGTCACAGACAAAGGGACTTCATTATTCTCAGCACAGGAGGCAACATGAGCTTCATGTTCACGTCAGCTCCCTTTGCCCCCTCAGTCCCAAGGAAGGGACATGAACGAGCCCAGGTGGATACAGCACACACAGAGGGTCTGTGCCCCAGCTGAGGAACCCTAAGCACGGGAAATCCCATTCTTTATAAGCTGCAAGCAAACCTGCCCCAGAGGGAGACATTACCATTACTGTACTAGACAGCCAAACAAACCTACCCTCTGCTCCAGAGGGATACTCCATCTCTGTTTTCCAAGGATGTTCACAATACAAACATCCTTGAAAACACAGCCTGGATCAAAACCTGTCCGTGGCGCTCTTCATGAGATGTATAGCAATGCGAGACCCACAGAGAACTGAACTATCTCCCAACACCACTGTAGACAGCACAGGCCTGCGCACCCCTCCCACCCCCGCCAATTAACCACTGTACTCTGTCATCACGGGCTTGATGAGCACACCAAAGAGGCTGTATGTAGTATTTTTAGCATCTTCCTGATCTGCCTCACTTTAACTAAAACAGGTTACCTCGAATATAAAATGATGTTATAAAAAAGATCACATAACAAGGTTGATTCACCTGTTCAAAAATCCAACATTAAAACACTGGGGGGAAGAAACCTACCATCTATGAATACGTCACCTTGGATACAGAATTTTAGAGCTGGGAGGCATGTTATCACACAACCATCTAGTTTAACCCCTTGATTTTACAAGTGAAAAGCTGAGGCCTAAAGAGACTGAAAAAGTTGATCAAGGTCACCCCTTCTGGTTTATAATACAGAAGGTCTACAACCCAGGTCTCCATCCACTACTGCATGCCACCTTTAGTTTGCAACGATTCAGAATCTGAACTGAGAAATGCTTACTTTTAAATCCAGGTTCTGCCACCTTATCATATCTGTAACCTGGGACAAGTGCTCTAACCCTTCTAAAACTAGGTTTTCTCACTTATAAAATGAGACCAATAATAGCACCTACTTCACATGAGCTGTTGTAAGGAATACTGAAAGCACTTAACACTGTCTGGACACATGAAAAGTGCTCAATCCATTTTTTCTGTATTGTGTTTTTGACAAAGAATGGAACAAATATTCCCTGTTATACTGAGAGCATAATTAATGTATGCTATACAGAAGAGCAGGCAATTCCACCCAAAGAGGGATGTATATAAACAAGTAATACTTGAACATTGCTCACAGCTCAAAGGGCAGTGAGAGCAAATATAAGATAAACACTTCCTAGAGGTAGAAAAATATTTGAAAGATTACTGGCTTGCTCTTCAACTTCCTTTTTAATTTTGCAGATAATCAGCTGTATTACACTGTCCCAGAGGTCCTATAAATGCCCATCCTTCCTCTACTATTATAAGAAACCAGGAAATTAGCAAAAAGCAAAAGCAATTTAAGGATTTCATTTTAAAAAATTAACCTTCAAAATCACTGCAAAAATTAACAATTCAGCTCTATATTCAATACCAACTATTTCTGCATCTACAGATCCTCTATAACCATCATTATAACTGATATTCACAATGGTTATGAAGAAAAAGTTAAATTCAAAATAGAATGGCCAAGAAAAAAAAGAATTTAGTAAATTTTAGTCAAGTTTTGAATCCTAACTCTTAAATAGTTAAATCCTCTGGTATCCAGAAATTTAATTTATAGCAAGCTTCCTACCAAAGCAGATAAACTGACACTCACTATATGTTGTTTTACATTCATTGCTTTTTATTTTTATGATTTTTATTCAGACAATTTTTAACACACTCACATTTACTGGAATCATATTCTGAAAGCTGCTTCCCTTCATGATCAGTCCAAGGAGAGGGTACGATGACATCCTTAGTGAAAAACTAGGAAAATTAAAGTCATAAAATTAGGCATATGAAATATGAAAAGGCAGCTGTGTTAAATAACCATCAAACATGTTACATACTGACTTTATAGTTATATTTTAAAATTTCATACTTAAAAGCACAAATGAGCAAAGGTAAAATGGAAGAAATTTAAAGTATATATAAAGAAAAATGTTAATACTTCAAATCAACCACTTAAATTTGCAAATTAAGCTAAGGTTATTAATCATAAAGAAAATATTTTTCATTTCTCCCCCAATTTTTTTGGACACGGGGGGAGGCTGACAAAAGGGAGGATGAAGAGGGAAGGAATAAATGGAGATAAATGTATACGTGTAAGCCAGTATCAATAGTGTGCTGGAGCTGGCTTGTCCTGACTCTCAAGATCTAATAATTAAAATTTCAGGAATTCTGTGTATCAGTTATCAAACAAAGCCAATATTAAAATTATGTAAACTTAAATAAACTATATTAAAAATAAAGGTAGTAAAAACTCAAAATCATCATTTGCTAATTATTTTACTACATTTACCAACATCTATGCTCTTGAGGTTAATTATATCTTTTGTGTGTGTGGTAGAATGCCTACATATAATGGTGTACTGCTACATTTCTTTCCCCATTCAGCGATGTCACATCACTAACTTGAAACTGGCCGTGGTTGGAGTATTTACACTGTGGACAGCAGCAATCACTAAAACTCATACTCCTCCCACAGTCAGAGGGCCTGTTGTTAATTTACCAGCACACCACTGGCCAGTACACCCAAATGGAGATACAGCATTTGGATAAATGTGTTTCCTCTTTCATTCTGGGTATAAAATTAATCAAGCCTAATACAGTAAGTAATACAGTATTTTCCCCTCCCCTCTCCATGTTTTGGAGGTAACTCAGAACATTTTCTTCATATTTTGCTATACCTATGACAAAGAACTAACTTCCTTGACTAAACTACCTATGAAAACATGAAGAAAAGATGTTGAAAAAAGGAGGGGGGGAGGGGGAACAGAGATGATACAGACTTCCCAGAAAAAAAGGAATATAAAAGACCCACAAACTCATGAAGCAAAGTATAAGTTCACTGAGAATGAAAGAGATACAAATCCGAATAACAAGATGAATTTTTAAAGTAATAAGATTAGCACAAATTAAGAAGTTTGATAATAGCCAATATTGCAGATATGAGAAAACAGGCAGTATCATAACGTTTCCAGGAGAATAAATTGGTACAACCTTTTGGGAAAACAATATGGCAAAATCTACCAAAAGCTGAAAACACAAACCCTCTGACTTAGCAAGTTCACAAAGATATATGTACAAGTGTGTTCACTGCAGCATTACTTGTGATAGAAAAAACACTGAACACAACCTACACATCTGTCAATAGGGGCTGAATTAGGTTATGATACATTCATACAATGGAATACTATGTATGCTATTTACTAATAACTGGTACGTGCTGATAATAAAAAAAAATTCTAAGAAATTATTAAGCAAAAAAGTAAGAGGCAAAACAGTATAAAAATGATGATCCTACTTATGTGCAAATATTTAAAGGACATGTGCTATTATCACACATGTGATCACACGAATCTGAAAGTATACTCAAGAAATTTTACAGTAATTACTTTTAAGGAGTGAGACAGGGAACAAAAGGCTCTTCATTTTCATTTTATATTTTTTCTTTGCAGTTTGTTTTTGTTTTTATTATGTGCATATATCTATTGTATTTCACATGCATACGTATGAATTTAATTTGTTGCTGATACATTAACTTCTGCTACATTGGCCCTAATCTTCACTCTGAATTCATTTTCTTAAGTTTTCTCCTGAATTTCCCTTTAAAATTAAGTCGAGAATTCGAAAGAGAAAGCATACTTCCCAAAATGTTGGGAAATGGGAAAGAGTCTGAGAATATTCAACTGGGGAGGAATCAAGTGACTGGATTGGAATTAAAATTTTGAAGTTATCAGACAGATTAAGAAGTAGATAACATTTGTCAGGAGTAAAGCATATGAAACAATTTCCTAAGAAATAGGCTATATCTGAAATATGGGGGCCAGCACATCACTGGATCTCTGAACATGCCATAGCTGAAGTCTTTTGGGGTGCAGAAGATCCAAGTGCAGCTAAGGAATAGAGGGGGCTAGTGAGAGAAAAAGGAAAAACAAAAAATGCTACCATGACATGAAGACTTTTGAGCAAATATCTAGATAGACATCCTTTATACTCTAAGAGTTCAGCAAACAAAGAAAGCAAGAAGTGAAAAACTAAGTTCATTAGTTTTATTAAAAAAAAAAAAAACCTACCTTTGGGATATATTTTTTCTATTTATCAGTATATTATATTTCATGAAATATATTCTATGTCTTAAAAATTCGAAGAACTAACAAGAACAAAAGATAAAACCGTTACTGAGGCCAATCTAGACTTCCAAGGCTTGAAAATATTCAACTTGCTCTATGTAAACTCCAACTTGAAACAATGGTTTGTGCTCATCCAAGGCACAAGGAAAACCAACTGTGCTAGGCCGTGAGAATGAAAAGATGAGCAAGCACAATAATGGCCAAATAAGAATTCAGTCTGGGGGAGAAAAGCACTCAACCGGTCATTACAATGAGAGGCGCTGGAACAGCTCAAAAACACTGGTCTTAGGGGAGCTCTGAGAGGGACTGGGGACGGGTAGGCTGGTGTGGGAGCTGGGACAGGAAAGGATCTGAAGGAAGTCTTCCTCTCTTAGAGGTGCTGTGCATGCAGAATCGATGCTTAACTAGCTTCATGATCAGTAACAGTTTTAAGTTACCTCTTCAATGGCTTTTTGTCTTTTGTCTTCCACATCTTTATCTATTCTATACAGAGATAAAGAAGAAAAATAACCATGCCATTACTTCAGCAGATTGAACATTTAAAATAATAACCTTTCAAAGAAATCGTTTCTTTCCCCGTTGGAAACTGGCAAATGTTAAGCTCATTTTAAAAGAAAAATTGGGACCTTATCACATTTCATAAATGACAGTATTTAGATACTCATTCAGCCTTGTGCTGTTAGGCCTACCTCCCCCCTTTCCATTCACAGTTGGAATGGAATAATATTTTCTTTTAAAAGGCTTACATTGATACAATTTTTAAATTACTATTAACAATGTAAAGAAAGTAATTTGAATAAACTTTGCCCTTTAATCACCACAAATTAAGAAGTATGTCACTCCAAAGAAATCTAAAAATTGTCCAAATTCTTTTTCTTCAATTATAGCAAGTTTATCATAGTCGTAATTTTAGAATCAACTCTTACTCTGAAATAAAAGGAAAAAAAACTATCATCCTTACAGTTCTAAATAAACAGGCAAAATTATTAATTCTGAAATGAAATATCAACAATATAAAATTTGAAATATAAAATATAAAACTTTGTCCAAACAAATTCTTTTTTTCCCACTTTGATACATTATGCAATTATAGCACCCCAAATTTATCAGCTGTAAGTTTTAATATAAATTGTCGGGTCTCAAGCACAAGGCATATACTTGCCAAGGACTCAGCAGTTAGCCTTGTAGGACCACTTCTTTTTTTTTTTTTTTTTTTGGCCAAGCCGCCGTGCAGTTTGTGGGATCTTAGTTCCCTGACCAGAGGTTGAACCTGGGTCCTCAGCAGTGAAAGCATGGAGTACTAAACACTGGACCACCAGGGAATTCCCAGGGCCCACTTCTTTAATCTGTTCCCAGAAAGAATACTTGCTTACCATCAATAAGTTGGTAAGACACTTTTTTCTCTCCAAATTTTTTCATGTATAACTTGCAGCTTAACAAAGCTTATAATAATGTACGTGTATTAGAAATTAAAATCAAGTAGATCTCTCAAATAAGGGAATTGTGAGAAAATAGACTACAATGATAATCCAGATATCTCAGCTTGAACAGCCATTCTGAGATTACTAACTCAGTTCTCTTCATCTTATTGTGGACATAAACAGGTCAAAATGACAGGGCATAACAATAACAGCGTACAGTATTAGTAAGCTCTGATCTAGCAATACCTCATTCAGAAACTTTCTGCTGCTTCATCAGAGGGCTTTAACAACCTGAAATATTCAAGTGATGGCTAGAAGCAGTGAAAACCAGTTTGGCCAAATACTGGAGAGCCTGATCATGGAAGGTTCTAAGGAGTCATATAGGGCAGGGTATCCTGACCAGCATGATGCATGCAGGGTCCAGTATTACAGGTATGCCCTGAATGGACCCTTGGTGGCCAAGGCAGAGAGGAGCTTTCAGGACTGTTCACCTCCTGTATGGACAGACTCATTTGTTTACACCAGGATGATTTGCAGTTCTCATTTTTATGTGTAGCATGGCATGAAAAAGGTGGAAAGCACTGAAACAGGGAACTTGGGTTAGAGAGGAAGAGACACTGGAAGCCTTTGCTTATTTCTAAGAAGGAATCAACATGTTTTAAGAGTATACTCACTATCCTCGGTAGAAGCCATAACCATCCACTGAATTACAGGAGGAAGTTAAATTAAATCAGGGTCTTTCCCCCTCTTCTCCGTTACAGGTCTATCTACTGAAATACACCAAGGTTCTTTTCACAAACCTGCTCAAACAATACAGGATTTACTAGTAAGTAAAGAAATGCTGTGTCACAACTTTGTTGACTACAGGGCAGGAAGAACCTCCTGTACTGCTTCAGTGCCTCACAGTGTTCAACGCATCTCTCTTGACGGTCCGTGGTTCAATATACTGAAGAGAGGAGGCGAAGTATAGCACACAGTTTGTGTGAAACAAAAAATTCGTCTCATTCGTGACACATTTGCTTTCAGATATTCTTTTCACCTTCTCTCTCAAAGGTATTATCTAGTGTTAAGTTAAAATCTTTCATGCTCTATCCCCATTCTAGTCCCTTGCTATAGCACTTTGGATGTGCATTAATTAATTATGAGGGGATGGTCATCAAGCTACCAAGCCAAAAGAGGAAGGGGCAGAAAAGCCAGACAAATATTTGCAAGAGCATCTCAATACGTGTACATCTTTGTGTGATTAAATTCTAGTTAAAGGGAAAAGAATTATTCATTATCTTAGACCGATAACACATGTACCTTAGTACCAAAAATTAAAAGCTGATCATATCAGGATTTGATTATTTCAAATATGAAAAAAAATCAAACTATAAAACTGACATCAACAAAAGAGTCCCTCAAATTATTACTGACTACTGCTATCTGTAATTTGTCATTACAGATGACTGCAGTTGGTAATCAAAAAGTATGCATGTTCCCCCAAAGAAGTGTATGGTCTCACTACATTAGGCATCATTAAGTAACAGACACACTAGTACTTGGAAATCTATACAACACATCAACAAAAGCATTAGTTAGGGCTGCTCTGACTACTAGGCTGATAATGTATATCAGATCCCCAAGTGTCAAAGCTGGATGATGTCTAGAAAAGCCCTCTCTGTTGATAATGTATACTCTTCCATTCAATGTGTCTTAACTTGGTAAAGGGACTTTCAGCTTCCCTAAATGTAGGTGGTAATAAAACAGCATTTTACTCTATCCCATACCCAAAAAGGAAAACAAAACAAAAATTCAATGGCAGAAGTCATAATCATGTACAAAGATACAGATTTCAAAATGACCTTCCTTCTACCAAGTGCTGGGGAAGCAAAGGTGTCCCATAAGTAGCAGAGGGAGGAAACTGTCTCTAAAAGAAAAGGACTCCTACCCAGATCTGGAACTGTTAGCAAGGGTGTTTTGCTGGATGTAGTTCTTTGAGCTCACTCTTTATTTAGATAAGATAAATCTGTATCATAATTTTTCCTCCCTGATTTCTTTACAAATAAAAATATTCAACCTTGGAATTTCCTATCTCTCTTCACTTGAAAGTACGTTATTACACTTAGGTGCGAAAAAGGAAAACTTACCGAGAACGACTTAAGTATAAAGCTTGACGATGAATGTCTTCTGGGTCTATTTCTACAGGATTTATTACGGCTAGTTGATCAATAGACCATCTAAATTTCCCTGGAGTCTTAACAAAAGAAAGCGATTTTATGAGTAAAAGTATACTAAAATAGTTCATCAAAACGCTAACTTCAAATGTCAGCTTCAAAAATTAATGTGAATGGTTATAATATAAAAATATCTTACAGCCCATATTTTAAAATTTGACTTTACTACTAAATTAAATGGCAAATGGTAACCAAATCACACTAAATCAACTGACTTGACTGTATCTCTTTAAAATATCCAAGTCTTCCCTCTGGGTGATTGTTTAAATTACATAATAACAGAAAAATCAGAGTATTAAAGGTATAGAAATTGCACAATTAACACTCATCAGTGATGCAACATGACCAAGTAAAACTAAAAATCTCTTAGAGTTATCAAGTCTTTATTTTCACCAAGAATGAACTGAAATTAAACAAAGTCCTAACTACAGAAGTGCCTGCAAAAGCTCATAAAATAGGTGATCCTCAAAATAATTACGAGTGGTAAGCAGTGCTGCTTTTCTATATTCAACTACCCAATAAACCAAAAAACTTATCCAAATCCTAATCTGTAAATTCAGAATATATTTTTGAAAAATCAGGCCTAAAAACCCAAGATGTCATGCATTCTTGCTTTGAGGATTAAGTTGCAGTCATTCTGTTAGTTTTATTAAGACTAACTAATACTATTCAATTTAAAATCATGAAGTCAGATAATGACTCAACATAAAGTGCATCACTGTAAAACTTTCCTCTAGTGCATAACTAGCTTCATGCTGATATGAATGTGTAGCTAGCATCAACAGCCACCCAGTTTACAGTTTCCTAGATAATTTACTAAGTTAAAAGATCAGACTTCAAAAGAACTTCTCCACTGTAGCCAATAACAGTAAAAATAAGCTAAAGAGATGAAGCCTTCCCTAATCTCCTAAAGAGCACGTTCTCTTCCATATCATCCTTGTGTTATAGCACATAACATATTCTCTTGAAGTTGCCAGTTTAGTTGTGTCTATCCCATTAGAGGTTGACTTCTTTTTAAACAATCTGCAAGCTAAGAATGAATGGGTGACAAAAATCCAAAAGAATATTAGTAATTTATGACATGTGAAAATTAAATGAAATTCAAATTTCACTGTCCCTAAATAAAGCTTTATTGGAACACAGTCACATTTATTGTTTACATACTACCAACGGCCGCTTCTACAATACAAGGCAGAGGTGACTAGTTGTAACAGCAACCAGATGAGTTGCAAAGCCTGAAATATTTACTATCTGGCCCTTGACAGAAAAAGTTTGCTGACCCCTGGATGAGAGTATAAGCTCTTTGAGAATTTGTGTTTTATGACCCTGACTTGTTCAAGGTGTAACCTCTATAGCTAAGAACTGTACCTGACAAATAGCACTCAAATAATGTTTGTTGAATACTGGAGAATAATTAGATGATGTAGTTTCTTCTTTATCATGGATTAGTACACATATCATCAGCCATAGTAACTAGCACCACTCACAGCTGTAGGAAGCTAACATGCTATCTACTGAATAAAATAAAAAGAAATGCTAACTAAAAAAAAAAAAATCCGGCTAAGTTATTTTTAGCCCAACCACTACATTATAATGAGCATTACAATTAAAAATAACATTCCAGATATGTATGTTCCATGATAAATTTCCCACTTGTCTTGTGGGAAAGATAATTAAAGATAAAGAAAGATAATTACATTTAAAGTTGTTTGGAAACACTAGTCAAGAATAACTTACTGGTAATTTTGTCGATTTAAAAACAGAAGGACTGGAGACAGTTTGTTCGTGGAGATTAGAGTAATCACCAGGACTTTCAAAAGGATTTAAAACAGGAATTCTTCCTGGAGTTTCAGGTGTTATTTGCATTTTTGATTCTCTGACATCTCCCATAGCACAGAGAGAAAACTAAAAAGAAATCAGAAGTATGTATAATAAAAGTACAAAATTCCCTAGACATTCATTTTGACAACTAAAATGTATTCAACAAACATACATTTCACAAAAAGAATTAACTCAAAACCTAAGCCTCCTGGGCTTTTTTTTAATAAGCTTACACAAATGTGATCCTCTGAATAACCTGGAAAGCTAGAGAGGGAAAGTATTAGTGATATAATTTTGCAGGAGAATTAACAAGTTCAGAGAAGTTAAGTGGCTTGTAAGCAGCAGTCCACCAAAGGTGAATGAGTTCAGGTCCGCCTTCGAGACAACTAAATGTTCCAATAGGCACAAAACCTTTTTCCACTAAAGAATTTATACCTACAGTTTTTAATTCATTATCTCAAGTCTCTACACACTTTGAACATAATTCGGATAGCCCAGCAATTCCCTAACAAACTGCAGTTACTAAACAATTATGAATAGCGAGCAAACAAGAGACCAGGAAGTCTCTGGTTTCTCCGTGCACGGGTGCCTTTCTTGCACATTAGCCCCCGTCAGCAAAGAATGACTGATTAGGGCTAGGAAATTAACCGCTTTGGGTTGCCTCTTCTCAAACACCCTTAGCGAAAGGCTAAGACCCCCAGGATAGAAGGCGAGACTGCATTATTTCCCGTCAAGGGGGGTTACAACTAGAGAAAAAGAACCCACTCCTTGGAAGGCTGACGTTGCAGCTGGCCTCCTCAGGTGAAGAACAGGACACTCACGCCGGTGTCATCCCCAACCTTACTCGATCACTCTTTCTTGGCGCCCCCTCTTCCGCACCTACTCCCTGGCAGCTTCCACTCATCCCGAGGCGAGCGTGCAGGCCGGTCCAGAGCCGGGCTACGTGAGCTCTCCAATTCGAGACAGGAGGAAAGGCCAGGAACTACAAAGAACATACCTAGTGGTGTGTACAAATAGGAAGCCCCTCAAAGCGACTCCAGGGCGCTTCCGAGGTGCCAGTCCAGCTCCCACGACAGGCACAGACTCTTTAACTCCCCGCTTCCGCGCTTAGGCCAACCAGAGCACGGGCCTTGCGCGCGACTGGCCAATCGCGTCTCACCGCTGTCCGCGAACCAGCCAATCGCATCGAGGCCGCGTAGTAAATTCGAATGACAACTCCTCGCTTCGCATTCCTCCCGGAGTAACCAGGCTCCAAATTCAAATCAACGCAGCCTCACGCTGGCGAAGAGAGCCAGGGGCGGAGCCTGTCCGGCGTGAGCTGGGGACGCGCAGTGTGATTGCCCAGGAGAAAGGAAGGCGCTCCACTTCCGGGTCAGGCCCTTCGCTCGCCCCGCCTCGGCCTCCGCCATGGCGAGTAGCAGCGGCGCCGGGGCGGCGGCGGCGAATCTGAATGCGGTGAGGGAAACCATGGACGGTGAGTGCCCGTATCGCCCCCTTTACCTTGCCTCGGTTCCCCAGAGCCCAGGCCCTCGGGCGGGGGTGGGCCCACAAGGACTTCTGATCCACCTCTTGCCTAGATCGGCATCTTTGGAGATCCTCCCAAGGGACCCGCCAGGGCTGCAGGGCTGATGGCCCCATCCTTTGAGAGTCGTCTCTTCGCTCCTGTGTAGTTCGTCGCGAGTATGTCGTTGCGGACCCACGTCAGCCCCGCGAGCGCTCCGCCCCTCCCGCGGCAAACCCCGTGCGCCGCGCACATCCCGCGCCCTCTCCCCGCTGTACGCCCACCTCCCCGCGTCCTTCCTCCAGCGCGCTCATTCCACGCCCCCCTCCCGCGCAGGGTCCCCGCGTCCCCCCTTTGGTATCGGCTTCGCGCTCCCCGCCACCCCGCGCCGCAGCCAGTGCCCTGGGCGCCTCGAAAGCGCCCCAGACTGCAGTCCCTTTGCGGACAGTGGCCTCGAGTGTTTGGTCACCGCCACGGCCTTTGTCTCTTGCACTTAAGCAGACGCGTTTCAAATACCCGGTGGAGGAGCAAGTTGTCCCTTCATCAAAATTGCCCAGTTTCGTCTTGGAGCAGGTGATGCCGGTGTCCGGGGGGCTGTGGGCGTATTTATCCGTTTCGGAGCTTGGAGCACGCGGGTAAGGCGTACCCGCAAGTAGTAGGGGAAAAAAAGCGTCTTGGAGTTATCCTCTCTCTTTCTCCTCTCTTATGCCGGCCCTGCCACTTTATACGCCTGGTGGTGGGCTTGGACAAGCTACTTAAACGTCTTTGAGCTCGCTTCTTTTTATTCTGTAAAACACGTTTACTACCTCCCAGGGTTGTAAATATTTAAATAAGATAACCAGGTAAAAACATCTCGAAGGTGACCATTGAAAGATACTTCTTGTGTTATTTTTGTGTATAAGACGTCATCCCACTTGCAGACGCTTTCGTTGTCCCCATTTTATTTGCATCCACCTCTATATGAGTGTTTGATAGATGGTAAACATTGGTGTTTGCGCTTTCCAGGGGATACCCACATCGGCCTCTATCTCTGTCAAAACATGGAATTCTCACTAAGCAGTGTCAGCCTTCATGTCGTGTCTTTGTCTCCACCGTAGGCTCCACTTCCTTTTAGAGCCCCTCCTTATGGACTTGAATTAATTTATTTTTGGCTGTGTCCGGTCTTTCGTTGCAGCGCCCGGGCTTCTCTAGCTGTGAGTTCACGGGCTCCAGAGCGCGCAGGCTCAGTAGTTGCCGTGCAGCATGGGGGATGTTAGTTCCCCAAACAGGGATCAAACCTGCGTTCCCTGCATTGCAAGACGGATTCTTAACCACTGGACCACCAGGGAAGTCCCCTTATGGGGACTCCTGATAAAGCTTCTGGCTTTTTCTGCCCTGGAAAAAAGCCTTTTCAAAGAATTATTTTTATTATTAGAGCCTTTGCATCTAATATTTTACTTACCAAGTATCTGCTTTGCCCTTTTTATGAAAAATAGAATTTTGTTAATATCATATTCAACCTGTTTTCCCATCCTTCTAGATGTATCACAGCTTATTAGTTTTATTTTGTAAGTGGATATAGGTACATAGAAACTATATGTGTACAACATTATTGTCTTTTATCTTTGCTTGGAAGCCAGTGTGGTTTCTGAACAGGAAGGAGCATGTATGGCCGGATTTCTAGTCAATTTTCTTATGTTAGCTGTGCATAGGTTCCTTAATTATATGGCCACAGGATTCCATTTGAATAGAAAACTCTCATTTTCTCTCTGGTGGAACTCCTGTTATAGAAATGAGAACTGATCATTTGTATTGGTTACATCATCAAGATTTTCACTGAGAGAACTTTGTGTAAAATGAAGATTATAGAGAGTGTAAGAACATGAAAAAGTGAAGAAAGACCAGGTTTTTTTTTTTAAACCAACATTGACGGAGAGAATGTGAATTAAAGAACACTGCTTCTCTACATGCAGTTTGCCCACAAACCAGAAGGTAAAAAAGAAAGGCCCCAGGTTGGCAGTGGCTCACATCTGTTAAATGTGGCAGTTAGATCCTGTCGTGTGCATTGGAACTCCAGACTTACTGAAAATCACTGCTATCATGCCAGAATTGGGTCCAAAGCAATCATTTCACATAAAAATGTGAAGTTTAATTATTGCAAAGTTAATGAAAATATTTTCCATGCTGCCTGTAATGATTGAGGCACAGTGGGAAACATAGTGCACGTGCTATTAATAATCGACCATACACTGAACTGAAAAAGACCTAAATGCAGTCATTTCATAAACCCACCTTCCTCCACTCTCCTTTAAATTGCCCAAGGGACTGGGCTGCCCTACTCAAAAACCATTATTATTTGAAATTCTGTTAATGTGGGGTTTCACCTGTATTCAAATCTATCTGTGAGAGCCAATCTGAAGTGTTCAAAACTTTTTGGGTCTGACTGCCCTTCTTCAAGATCTAGTATATTTCTCCTCATCCTCTTCTACCTGCCTCCCATCAGTATTAGAGCCAGCTAAGTGATTTAATATTTTAATTGATGTCAGATGATTTGCAGGGGTTGTAGAATTCGGCTATGAATATTTGTAATTTTATTGTGAAATGAAAGGATTTTGATAAAGGTACTTTAGACAGGAGAGCGGTGGACTTTATTTATCTGCACAGATCACTCTGAAAGGAAGCTGATTGATCCTGGCCCTGATTTAGTATAGGGTCTATTGCATAAGGGCCTCCACTCTCTCTTAGATCCTCAACATTCTCTTCCTGCATTTCCTTTTTAAAATATCAGGCTCTTTCAATTACCTTTCTCCCTCCTCCAATGTACTTAATTGCCCCTTTTGCTTTTCAACGTTTTGAAATTTTAGATACTCTTTGTTGATAGCTTCATACTAATTCTTATTTTCTTAAAGTTCTAGAGTTTTCCTTATGCCCTAATTTTTTACTACTAGTAATTACGTTTTTTGGCAACTGTGACTCAGATGTACCTCTTCCCTGCTAGAGGCTTCCTCAGTATTTTCCTCAGTATTTTCAGAGGAATTTGTTCCAGGACCCCACACACCCACCTAATACCATAGTCTGTGGATGCTCAAGTCCATCATATAAAATGGAAGAATATTTGCATATAACCTCCGTACATCCGATTGTATACTTTAAATCCTCTCTCAGTTATTTATAATTCCTAATAAATGTGAATGCTATGAAAACAGTTGCCTGCACATTCATGGCAAATTCAAGGTTTGCTTTTGGGAACTTTCTGGAATATTTTTCTCCAAATATTTTCAATCCACAGTTGCTTGAATGCAGTGTGGAACCCATGGATACGGAAGGCCATCTGTTCTACTTTATGTATCAGATAGTAAACTAGCAAAAGGAGTGAAGAGAGTCCACGGTGTACAGGGCAGTGTCAGTGAAGCAAACGTATAGCCCATGCTTCCACCATCAATCCCGTTGCTCATGTGAGACCTCCCCTTCCTCCGCCTCTTCACTAATCTTTTTCAATTCTTCACTTATCTTAGATTTGACCACTTGTCTTAAACTCTCCCATCCATGCCGCCCACCAGTCTTTTCTCCGTAATTGCAATAACTTAGCTGGACTCCCTCTCCACACGTGTTCTACCCCCTTCTAGGATCCATTCTATGTTTTGCAGCCAAAATCTTTAAAAAATGAAAATCTCATCTTGTCACACTCCTGTTTTATGTCTTCTAATAGCCTCCCAAAGTTCTCAAACCTTTAATAGGGCCTTAGTGGATTTTCATGTCTGCCTCATCTCGTATTTTACACGTATTCAGCCCCCTTAATTACACAGCCTTCACATGAGCCTTTCAATCTGTGAATTTACCAAGGTCTCCCCAGTGTAAGACCTCGTGCACAGTCTGTTTTCTTGGCTCCCTGCCTCTGCATTAGTCAGGTTGATTTCTAGTCATCCTCGAAGTCTAAGCTTACTTGTCACTTCTTCAGACAAGTCTTTCCTAACTTGTGTCCTTCACAGCTAAGTAAGATGCCTTGTAATTTGTTTTGGAAGTATGCTGTCCTTTTCCGTCATTTTACTTGTCATAACTGGAATCAGTTGTTGTTTTAACGTATGGCTCTTTTAGACTGTACTGTCCATGAGGACTGGGACCATATCTGTTTTGTCCACAACTACATTTCCAGCAGTAGCATAGTAGGCACAAAATATATACAGGTACCAATTATACAGTAGACACTACAGAAATATTTATTGACTGATGACAGACAGTATGTGAAGTTAGGATGTAATGATCAAAGTGACTTTTAAAAGAAAGCTTAATGGAAGAAATACTAGTACTGAGATGGCCCTGAAAGACAACGTGGAGTTGAATGCAGGGAAGAGAAAAGCATGAACAAAGGCATGAAGTCAGGAGCAATAAAAATATAAATAAAGTATAAAATATTTATAAAAATATAAATAAAACTATAGCATTTATAGATGAGGGTCTACCATGAGGAGAAAACTGGAGAGAGAGGAGAATTTGAGAGAGAACTGGAGAGATGATGACACAGTTGGAAGAGAGTCAGAATGTGGGTTGTAGTTGTCTGTTGCCCTGTAACAAACCACCCCAAACTTGGGGGCCTAAAACCACAACAGTTACTTTTCTCTCACAGTCCTGGGTGTTGCCCAAGCTCATCTAGATCAGGGGTCCCCAACCCCCGGGCCGTGGACCGCTCCCCGTCCGCGGCCTGTTAGGAACCGGGCCGCACAGCAAGAGGGGAGCGGTGGGCGAGCAAGTGAAGCTCCACCTGCTGCTCCCCATTGCTCGCTTTAACGCCTGACCATCCCCCCACCCCCCAGTGGAAAAATCGTCTTCCACAAAACCGGCCCCTGGTGCCAAAAAGGTTAGGTTCAGGACCGCTGCTCTAGGTAGTTCTCCCCGAGAGTGTCTTGTGCATTGCCATCAGACAGTGCTGAGTCTGGAGTCATCTCAGAGCTTACTCACATACCTGCTGGTTGATGCTCCTGTTAGCTGGGCCCTCAGCAGGGGTTGCTGTCTGGAACATGTGGGTTTCTTCACACTTGGAGGCTGGTTCCAAGGAGGAGTGTCTCAAGAGAGAGCCTGGAGAGAGTTCTGTTGCCTTTTTAACCCAGCCTCTGAAGTCGTGCAGTGCCACTCTAGGGAATGCCGTCTTCCATGAGCCCTGAGCTCTGTTTGCCGAGAATGCAAGGCCCTGACTGCTCTCTCCTCCTGCTGTTTCTCCGGTTGTGTTGACAGTGAGTAGCAATGAGGGATGAAGTAATATCTACCTCCAGATAAAAAGCAGACTTGCTGCGGGCTTATTGTAAAAGTTGGGATTCCCCAAGCTCAGTGTTCTTCAGCTGTGAATGTGGTCTGTCAATAATAATGTATTCCTTCACAAGGTCAGAGGAGAAAAGCTGCCTGGTCATTTCAGTGTTTGATGAAAAGTTATCAATAAGACTCAAATTTTTTTTTTCTGATTTTAAAGTCTTAGCCAAAGAAAACTGTACATTTTTAACATGATAAAATATAGCTGCACGAAACCAGCACCATCCTTAACATTAATGTTATGTGCATTTTAAATAAAATTGAAAATACCTGCTTTCAGTACCTTTTTAAAATATTGATATGAAAATTTGCGAATAGCACAGGATAGGGGAAAAAAGACTATCAAAAAGGACATGAGGGCTTCCCTGGTGGCGCAGTGGTTGAGAGTCCGCCTGCCGATGTAGGGGACATGGGTTCGTGCCCCGGTCCGGGAAGATCCCACATGCCGCGGAGCGGCTGGGCCCGTGAGCCATGGCCGCTGAGCCTGCGCATCCGGAGCCTGTGCTCCGCAATGGGAGAGGCCACAACAGTGAAAGGCCCATGTACCGCAAACAAACAAACAAACAAAAAGAACATGAAACTGTTATTTGTAGGTCAAATGATTATCTGAGTAGCAAACAAAAGAGAATCAACAGAAAAACTGTTAGAAGCTTCAGTAGATTTGTTAAGGTGGCTAGCTACAAAATAAAAATAAGTAATGTCCTAGAGTATTGGCACTAACCACTCAGAATATGCATGAGTGAGGTGGAAATCCATTTATGAAAACAATCGAAACAAAAAATTAAAGAAATTGATCATTCACTATCAAAATCAATGATGATTGAGCACTTGCTGCAACTTTCTGCTCCAAGCATATAAAAATGACAGGAAATAACATTGAAATACAATGGTCAGCATAACCATGTTCAAAAACGAGAAAAGGAAGTCTCCGTTGATTAGAAAGAGAGAGGTTCCCCCCAAAGAACGGAGCAGATGGGAACCATAGCAGGGGGTTGGGAATGAAACCGGGGGAAGGATACTGCCCTGCCTGAGTGAAGCCGGGGGCCCAAATTGTACCATCTGCCAGGCCAGGGATTGAGAAGCATCATCCATGTGTCTTGTGGGTCTGGAGTCAGGATGCTTCCAGAGGGCTGAAGCCAGTGTGAGACCACCCATTCAAGAACAGCCAAGGATGTCCAAGAAAAACCTCCTGTGGAAGATGAGCTTTCCGCCAAAAGTCACAGAGCACCTAAGGTAGATGAAAAACAAAAATAAACTAACATGAAAATGAAAAAAAGGGGAAAGTGAGAGAAAGTAGTAGTAACAGCTGACCCTTTTATTGAGCACTGTCATATGCCAAACATATGTGCGTCCTTCAATCCTCACAACCGTCCTATAAAGTAAGTACTATCATTATCCCCATTTTCTAGAATAATGAAAGAAAGGCACAGAGCAGTTATCTTGCCTAGTAAGTAATGAAAGTGGAAAATGAACCCAGGTTGTCTGCCTCTGGAGAGCACACTCTTAACCACTCTCTTTTGCTGCTTGTTTCTATGTGAAGCAGAAAACAGAAATCTCAAAAATGGCTAAAGATAAAAACATATAGCCTCCAGCAGGTAAAGGCAGAAACAACAGCCACAAAATAAGGAGTGGTTATAAATAAGCGTTTAGTTGTGAAACCAGAACATGTGATTATGGGGGGAAATTAGAAATCTTAAAATAGAGTTATTGAAATAAATTCAGCAGATAACTTGAATAACAGCCTGAATACAACTGAAAAGCAAAGTATGTTGGAATATCAAAACTGAAGAAATGAAAACGGAAAGGGCTGTCAGCTTCCAGCCAAGATAGAGTAACAGGGACTGGATTTACCTTCCTACCTGAAACAACCAACAGAGTCCAGGCAAAACATGCAGAACAATGGTTTTCAAGACACTGGACATCAGGCAAGGAAGGACAGTGATTCCTGAGAGGCAGGAAACAAACGAAGTGAGCCAGATAGCTGCCCCAGCTTCCTACCTTCAGAGTTTTCAGGCCACAGTGCAGTGGGGGGAGGGGAGTAACTCAGGCAGCACCCGGGGGCACCCTGAGTTGAGCAGCAGCTTAGGGTCCAGGGAGACCAAGGCAGGTAGAGTTTTCAGGACACAGTACCTGAGAGGAAAGAGCCTGCGCCCAGAGAGAATTCTGGAGATCCGCAGAGGGGTCTCCCTCAAGTACTCAGCATAGCATTGATCACATGTGCAAGGAAAGTACCCAGAAAGCTGGGGAAAGAGCCATTTGAAAGGATTAAAGGGAACAGTACATTATGCTCCACAGAACTGGGAATAGAGCCTGTGTCTACTAGCCAGAGTGGAAAACTTCATAATTCACAAGACATTGTGTGGTATTAATTAGCCCTATGCTAAATGGGACTCTGGTCCTGACTAATGAATCTTAGAGGATCCCAAAGGATCAAACTGTTTATAACCATATCTCATTACAAAGCTTGAGAATATGTATAGAAATACAGAAATATCCAGCACCCACCAAGGTAAAATTCACAATGTCCGGCATCCAATCAAAAACTATTAGGTGTGCAAAACAGAAGAATATGACCCATGATGAGGAGGAAATTTTAATCTGTTGAAACAGACCCACAGTTGACACAGATGTTAGGATTAGCAGATGAAGACATTAGAACGGTACTCCATATGTTCAAAAAGTTAAGTAGAGGAATGGAAGATAAAGGTTTTTTAAAAGACTCAAATTGAACTAGAGATGAAAATGAATGTAAGGTATGAAAAAGTGGGAATGGCCCATATCATGAACATCATGAATATTGTAAAAGTTTTCAGGACTTAGACTTAAGTTAATGGATGGCTTAATATTATTAACGTGTTCATTCATCCCAAAATAATGTGTTTTCATACAATTCAAATCAGAATCTAAATGGTATTTTACTGACTGAGCAGTTCCACTTCTAGGAATTTATTCTGATAAAATTAAGTTACTATGTGCAGATACTTATTACAATATTATTTTAATGGGGGAAACATGAGACCATCTAACAAAATAGCAGAGTGGTTAAGTAATGTATAATGTTTCCATAAAATGGAATGTAACATGACTAATTAAATTACATTGTAAAAGAATACTAAAAAGTGGGCAAATGTTCAAAATAATCTTGATTATGATATATGAATTTTAGATAGATATTCAATGAGTGGTAGAATGTAAACCAACATGTAGAAAGCAGTTTTGTGGAGGGAGGATGTAAATTTATTTTTAAGTTTCTAGAGCTAGGTAAGGGGAAGACAGTATTACATGCCAGTTTCCAAATCTAGGGATGCTATGCTAGTTCTCTGGTATTATGCAGTATTACATGAATTAAAAACAGAAGTATTAATGTGCATGTTTTAAAATGTTATAAGATTTTGTTTTTAAAATTTTCTTTTTACAGTTCTGCTTGAGATTTCAAGAATTTTGAATACTGGATTAGATATGGAAACTCTGTCTATATGTGTACGGCTCTGTGAGCAAGGAATTAACCCAGAAGCTTTATCATCAGTTATTAAGGAACTTCGCAAGGCCGCTGAAGCATTAAAGGTAGAGATTTGTATATTAACTCTATAAGTAAAGATGCTTTTGTTTAGAAAATGATTAATGATGAAGTTATGTGAAAGATTCCAAACATGATTAAGCTAGCATCTATCATCATCAGGAGAAATTCTGACGGCCAGGAGCTTTGTAGCATATGTTCAGATCACAAAATTTGCTGCTATCTGGACCATGTTGCATTTTCTTAGAAGTTTCCAGTTGTGTTTAGAATTCTCCTTGTATTGTGGGTAATAGTGTCTACCCCCAAAAAGATATGCTTAAGTCCACCACCTGTGACTATGACCTTATTTGGAAACAGTGTATCTGTAGGTATAATCAAATTGAGATGAAATCATAATGGATTAAAGACCAATGTTCTTATAAAGACAAGGGAAATTTGGACACATATATACAAAGCGCACACCATGTGAAGACACAGACACAGGGGAGAATGCCAGGTGATAACAGAGGCAGAGATTGGAGTGATGGCGTCTACAAGCCAAAGAAGGCCAAGGATTGTTGGCAGCCACCAGAAGCTAAGAGGCAAGGAAGGGTGCTCTGCTAGAGCCTTCAGAGAGAAAATCGCCGTGCTGACACCTTGATTTTGGACTTCTGCCTCCAGAACTATGAGAGAATACTTTTCTGTTGTTTTAAGCCACCCAGTTGGTGGTACTTTGTTACGGCAGCCCTAAAAATTTAATACAGATTCACTACTGGGGAGTGGGGTGCTGCTGTAAGAAATAGCTAAAAATGTGGAAGTGGCTTTGGAATTGGGTAATGGATAGAGATTGGCAAGTTTTAAGATGCATGATAGAAAAAGCGTAGATTGCCTTGAAGACACTGTTGTAGGTGACTGTAGGTGTTATAGGTGATTCTGGTGAGAGCTCAGAAAGAAGAGAGAAGAACTTCAGTCATCTCAGAGAATACATATATCACTATGAACAGAATCTTGCTAGAATATGAACATGAAAGGTGCTTCTGGTGAGGTCTCAGATGGAAATGAGGAACATTAGTTATTGGACACTGGAGGGGAAGGCCATCCTTGGTATAAAGAGCACTTGGCTGAATTATGTTCTGCTGTTGAAAGGAAAACAAAACTTGTAAGCAATAACTTGGATGTTTGCTGGGGAAATTTCCAAAGTATGGAAAGTGCAGCCTTATTTCTCCTTGCTGCTTACAGTAAAATGTAGGAGAAATGAGAAACTGAGGAAGGAACTGATAAGCAAAAATGAACCAGCACTTGCTTTGGGAAGTTCTCAGCTTACCCAGGTAGCATGCTCTGGAAAGAAGGCCGAGAGTGTGGCTGGACAACCTTTTGGTGAAGAGATTAGGTTGTGTGACTCAGATGCAGTCCACCATCTCAGCATGAAACCATGCCAGCTGGGACTGAAAGGAGCCAGTACAGGATGAAATGAAGGAAAGCTGCCAGACTTCTGGGATTGCACAGGCAGGAACTGGCTTTGGAGCTACCTGGCTGTGAATGTATGCTCATCCTTCAAGAAGAGGGGAGAGCGCTTCCCTGGTGGCGCAGTGGTTGAGAGACTGCCTGCCGACGCAGGGGACATGGGTTCGTGCCCCGGTCCGGGAAGATCCCACATGCCGCGGAGCTGCTGGGCCCGTGAGCCATGGCCGCTGAGCCTGTGCGTCCGGAGCCTGTGCTCTGCAACGGGAGAGGCCACAACAGTGAGAGGCGTATTGCAAAAAAAAAAAAAAAAAAAGAGGGGAGAGTGGCTCAGAGGCCAGGAACTGCTGAGGCCAGTGGGCTGGACTGCCAACATGGACCCAGAGGACCACTGTTTTTCAAATTCACATTCACCACCTTTTTTTACTTTTTTTTTTTTTCTTTTTTTTGTGGTACGCGGACTTCTCACTGTTGTGGCCTCTCCCGTTGCGGAGCCGTGCAGGCTCAGCAGCCATGGCTCATGGGCCCAGCTGCTTCGTGGCATGTGGGATCTTCCCGGACCGGGGCACGAACCCGTGTCCCCTGCATCGGCAGGCAGACTCTCAACCACTGCGCCACCAGAGAAGCCCCACATTCACCACCTTTTAATTGCTGAGACTGGAAACAGGAAAAGCATTGTGTTCCCTCTCTTGCTTGCACACACTATGATTTTAAAATCTCACGATTTTTATTTCCATGTTTATGTAGCACTCACTCACCACGAATACTGAAACTTCAAGTCAGTCCCTCTTAAACCTTGTCCAAGGACAAAATGGCTTCTCTCTACCCTTCTTTCCTTTGAGGATGTAGGCGTATAAAACCTGTAGCTTACCCATCTCAGATTAAGTTACTCTCCAATAAGTTCCAATAATTTGGGTCATTGGTTTTGTGCTTTTTAAAACTTTTTCATTATTAAATCTGGCACAAAAAGGTAAACAAGACACATTTACAGAGCAAAAATTTATCATAAAGAGAATACCTATACAATTCTCATTGCCAGCACCCTAAAAGTTCCCTTATGCTCCCCCATCACTAACCTCTCTTTCCCACTACCCACTCCAGTAACTACTTTCCTGATTTTTATGGTAGATACTTTCTTTTAACAATTTTACTGACTAAGCATGGATCTCTAAACACCAGTTTCATTTCGTAAAATTTTTGAACTTGATATAAATGGAATCTTACAGCACCGTTCTTTTTTTAAGTGTAAAATTTATATAGATTTTAGTATATTCACAGAGTTGTACAGCCATCACAATTAACTGTAGAACATTTTAATCACCCCCAAAAGAAACCTTACACCCATTAGCAGTCATTCTCCATTCTCCCTTTCTCTCAGCCCCTAGGAAGCATTAATCCACTTTGTCTCTATGGCTTTGTCTATTCCACACATTTCATATAACTTGTGACCTTTTGTCTCTGGCTTCTCTCACTTAGCATAATGTTTTCAAGATCCCTCCATGTCGTAGCATATATCAGTACTTTATTTCTTTTTATTGTCAAATAATATTCCATTGTATGGATATACCACATTTTATCCATTCATCAGCTGATTGGCATTTGGGTTGTTCCCACTTTTTGGCTATTATGAACAATGCCAGCACAGTTTTTTTACTGGGTTATTTCATTTGACATTATGTTTATGAGGTTCATTTCTGTTGAGTATAGCTGGAGTGCATTCCCTTTCACTGTAATAACCATGTTTCTTTGTACAAATATACTATAACTTATTTATCCTTCCTACTGTGAATGGATATTAGGTTGCTTCCAGTCGGGAGCCATTACAAATGTGCTGCTGTTAGCTTAGTTCTCCATGTCTCCTGTTGCATGTATGTGAGCATTTCTGTTGGGTGGGTATCTAGAAGTAAAATTGCTGGATCATAGCTTATGTGTATCTTCCACTTGAAGAGGTAATGTGAAACTTTACTAAAGTAGTTGTATGAATTTATATCCCCACCAGCAGCATATGAATTTCCCTTGCTTCACATCTTTGCCAACACTTATTATTGTGAGTCTTTTTAATTTTAGTTGTTCTGGTAGGTGTTTATGAATTTGTCATTTTATTGGCATTTCTCTGAGTACCAGTGAGATTGAATGTGTTTTCACATGTTTTTTGGCCATTTTCTTTTGTGAGATATCTTTTCGTGTAGCTTGCCCACTTTCCTGGGTTGTCTGTCCTTTTCTTTGTGGGTAGTCTTTCTTTAAATATTTTTGAAATAAACCTTTTGTCAGATATACATGTAAGGTTTCTGATTTTTTTAATCAAAAATTTTAAATAATTATAAAAACTATTCAGATTTTCTGTATTTTAACTCACGACTGTTGCTTTCATATGACAGAAGACTAACTGAATAATACAATAAGAATAGCTAATATTTATGAGTACTTTTCCTTTTGCCAAACTCAGTGCACTAAAGGCTTTCCTTGCATTGTTTCCTCTATAATCACAACAGGGATGTATATTACAGCTAATAGTAGTTTACCGCTAAGGAACCTGAAGCTATGGTGACTAACTTACTTCTCTCAGGACTTACAAGTAGTTGAGTTGGGAGTTGAACTCAGACCCTCTGACATCAGAGTTGTTAACTGTTAGGTTTCTACCTACAGTAAGTTCTAAAAAATATCTGAGCCTGCTATTTAAGAAAGGATGAAAATGGTGATTAGAACTGGGTCAGTGGACTATAGCCCGGGAACATTCCCTGGCTTAGTGTTGTCTCATAACCCTGTTGATAAAAACAAAAGGTATCATAGCCTTTCATCAGTACATTTCTGAAATTCCAGTGGAAGAGGATTTATTTAATATACATCTTCCACAACTATAAGAATTTTTGTTCACCTATGCTGGAGTTTGAAAGAGAATAAGGAGGCAGCATAGGAAGAGATTTTTGTATGTAATGCAATTTGAATGCTACTGTTAGCCTAGCAATCAGTTCAAAAGGTAGTTCAAAGAATGTACTGCAAAAAGTGAAAACCAATGCATTATCCTGATAAAAGTTCTTTGGTATATGTGGGGGAGGAGTTGTTTGTTAATAACAGTGCAGTATTGACAAATTTATTTCCATGGTGTCTCTTTTTCCATGGTTTTATTATAATGAATCATACTTGTTCTAGGCTGCTGAAAATATGACAAGCTGACTTTCTGAAGAAATCCTGGTGAGATATGTCAAGCTCTGCAAGAGGATTGAAGATGGCATTGTAGTTAAGAATGTACAATGAAATCACTGCATGTAGCAATGTGGAAACGTTGTCCTTTTTAAAAGAATTATAAAACCATAGCTTTATAAATCAGTGAAAGTGGCTTATGGAGAAAACTATCAGTTGTGTTTACACCACATCTTTTTTTTTTTTTAACAGTTCTAATGCTTTGGCACTGCTGTGTTCATATTTATGTGTTCCTTATTTATAGCTTGGATAGCTTTAATTTTCTAAGCAGTCTGTCTATCAGATGTGCACATCTGCTGTGCCTGGTTGAAGTATAGTGGAACCCTTCAGCAGTAATGTTGTAGTTATGACTTGTTGACATTTCCATTATAAACTTTAATTTTGAATTGTTTATGCAAAATAACTGTGGATTTATGTTGTATTAGGCTGGAAGTTGACAATTTCGGCTACCAGTTGTGGATTTTGACTTAGATTCATTATGCATATCAGAATCTTGTTTTTTATAAGAGCACGGAAAAACATTTGTTGTAAACTGCTCTTTAACAAAGAATATTTAGTTTTTTAAAACATAAAGTTTGACTGGCAGTTAATATTGTGAAGCAGATCATATTTGTATTGATTGAAAAATGAAACTTAGAAACTTAGATTTTAAAAGTAATGACTGCTTAGTTTACTATTTATCATTTGAATCATTTAAATTTAGTGAGAATATTAATAGAGAATATTAATTCTTATTAATAAATAAATATTTTTCTTTCTAATTTTTATACTCTGTAAATCACGGCCTTAAAAATAATAATGCATAATGAAACAATTCCAACATGAAAAGTCTTTTTTACTTTTGTTACATAAAAATAATTTGAGTGCTTACTTAATATACCTTGAGTGGTTATCTAGTTAATCACTAAATAGATGGTGTCACTCAACAAATAATGTTAATTATTTTCTGAAGGAATAAAGGTTTCCAGTCATTAAACAAAAACCAAATAATCAAGTGTTCTGTATCAGGAATTCTAAATATGCCTTTCTAAGATCATTTTTATGTGTGATTATTTTTACCCTGAAAGTTTTAACTAATTGAAGTGATGGTTCAAAATAAATTTTAGAAAACTTAGGATAGCATGGATTCTGTTCCTATAACAGAATCTCAGTGGAATACTTTTCCCAAGACTAATACAAATTTAATCTGATTTTTTAAGACTTTGTTAGCTTCCATTTAAATGATAGTATAGGGTCTTCCCGGGAAATCCCGTCCAGTGGTTAAGACTCCACCTTCCAATGTAGGGGGTGCAAGTTTGATCTCTGGTCAGGGAACTAAGATCCCACATGCTGCGGGGTGCAGCCAAAAATTTTTTTAAAAACTGATAGTACAAGCATATACTCTTTGGTAGCAGTTTTTGTTCTTCAGGCAAACCAAAGTGATTTTAATAAGGCTTAATTATATTTAATGGCAACCTTCTGTTCTATTTTAAAAATCTAGTCCTTTGACCACTTTGACTTTTTAAATACATGACATCTTTACCAAGTGCACTGAAGGTCTATTATAGGGAGAACTGGTTGGGAGACAATAAAAGTTTTGATTGTAAGTCATTCATTTAATCAAAAAGCATTGCCAGTACTGCATGTTGTTATTTATATACAATCAGAAAAAGGACATTCTTGTCAAGTTCCAAAATTTGTATATACTTTTAGGTCATAAGAGTTAATAGTTTTATTTATGACTTTGTAGATTATGTTATTTATGTGTGAAACAAAGCAGGAAAATATATTGAGAAGGAGTTATGTTTATAGAGGACTTTCTTAATGTGTTACATTTCTTAAATGTAAACATATATTTCTAATGCATACTTAAGTAATGTTTAAGGAAACCAAAGTAATGCATTGTTGTGCATGTTGGCAGTGTCAAAAATAAAACCATTTTGGTGGTATCGGCATGTACTTCTGATTTAAAATACGCTTCTATGAATTCAACTTGTGTTTCTATAGGTATTTGGTAAATATTTAGATGCTTATTTGTTATGTGTGATTGAAGACTGTTTAAAGGTAGGCTTTATAATTTACAATTTCAAATTAGTCTTGAGGTGGTAAAATGGAGTACTTTTCCCCTGGTAATGAAAGCATATAGCTATAACATTTCTTCAGGCTTGAAAACAAAGTTGGCATTTCAAATATGTGAGATTATATTTTTCTATATTTCAAATAAGAACTTTACATAGTAGACATTACGAAATTTACATACATGTTTCAAACATGCTATATATTTTTAAACTTATATTTAAATTAATTAAAATTTTAGTTTCTCACACTAACCACATTTTTTATTGTAGTACAATATACACAACATAAATTTTTCCATTTTGACCATTGTAAATTGTACAGTTCAGTGACATTAAGAACATTCACTTTAACACCTTCCTCAACAATAGAGCCAAAATCTTTTTAGACATGGTTTAAGTGACAGTTGGGATCTCTGTTAGGAAACTTTGGGGTGAATTGTGTTTCCCCAAATCTGTACGTTGAAACCCTAACCTCCATACTTCAGAGTGTGACGTATTTGGAGGTAGGGCCTTTAAAGAGGTGATTAAGTTAAAAATAGGTCTTTAGGGTGAGAACTAATCCAAGCTGACTACAACCCTTACAAGAACAGGAAATTTGGACACACAGAGAGACACAACGGGGGGTGCATGCGCCCAGAAGAAACCATGTGAGGATACATCAAGAAGACGGCCATCTACAACCCAAGGAAAGGGGCTTCAGAAGAAAACAAGCTGCCCAGGAACCTGATCTGGGACTTCAGCCTCCAGAACTGTGAGAAAATAAATGTCTGTTGTTTAAGCCACCCAGTCTGTAGTTTGTGATGGCAACTGTAACAAACTAATAAAGGAACAAATATTTATAAAGTGCCTATTATCAACAAACCATTGTAGTCGGTCTACCCGGGATAGTAAGCAAAAGCTAAACAAATTGGGAAGATGAAATAGGCTTTTCTTGTAACACAGCCTTGATAGCTGCCTTACCCCATGTTGGTGAAGAAGCACCCTGTGTTTAGTCCTACTTAACAGCTCAGCTAAAAATAGCCCAAAGACCAGCCAGCCACTTGGGAAACCTGAATCTGAAATAAGAATAATTTTGGCTGGTGATAGTTCTGAAATAATAGATTTCTTATTTTCGAGGTACATGCTCCCTGTAGTTTTGAAGACTGGCACAATTGAAGGTTACCATTTAAATTAAAAAGAATCTTTGGGAAAGTCTGCATTTTATGTGGCAGAAATGTGTATTTCACTAGTATTGAAACCTATATAAAATAGAAATCGGTTGAATCACTTACATGCAGACAGCCTGAAGAGTCTCAAGTGGACGGTATTGCTGAGAAATCAAGATGGTAGCCCACTGTGGATTAGGACGTCACAGAAGAAAGCAGATTAATATAAAAGTGCTTTGATATTCACCAGTGGCAAGGGTGTTTTTACACAAACTACATTAAATGAACGGTTGGATTTTTTTACATAACAAAAATAGAAGATGGGTTTGCTTTTCTAAAGAATCACTTGAATCATTGAAACATTTTTAAATGTAAACAACAAATGTTTCTATGTCTATTTCTAAAAGCAGATATGAAGTTATTTTTACAGAAATTGCTCTCAGAGGGAAATCATTGAGATAATAGGAGAGAACAGGATTTATATGTTAGGGGAGAAGGCAAACAGTCTAGAAAAAGTAGATCTTGTTTGCACATTTTTGGCAGTAAACTAGTTAGCTGGTAATCTGTCCTTGAGTAAGCTGAGTAAAGGCATCAAAACAGTTTTAGATGTTTGTGAATTCTCCAGAAAACAGTGAGCCTTTCCATCAGCACGTCCACCTTGCTGAGATCAGGTCCACACTACTTCCCTCATGAGGATGTGTTACCTGGGATACTTTAATAAGTCAAATTATACAAAATTCCATGTGGAATATTTAATGAAATTTCTAACACTTGTGCAAAGAGAAAGCAAACACTAAGCAATAGAGTGTTAGAAAAGAACCTAGTGTGGTGTGTAGGCGCAGAGGGGGGATCCATAGAAGTAGATTATTCTGGCTGAAATGGAAAGTTATATTTAGGGGGAGGTAGGAGAGGGCTGAAAAGACAGGATGAAGCCAGATTATCAACATCCCTGAACGAGTTCGACCTTCATTTCACAGGCATCAGAGAAAGGAAGAGATGGGGTAAACTCTGTTATGGAATTTGCTTTGCAAGTGCAGTGCAGGATGAGACCAGAAGCAGGGACTTGTTATTAGGCTGTGACAGGAGATGGTAACGCAGGCCTAAGGTTCAAATCGGTAGATTCAAGGAACAATAAAGAAGAAAAATGCATGAGATTTAATGGCACGTTAGGGGGAAAATAGAAAAACTAAAGTGACTTGAGTTTTTAACCTGGGTAGCAAAGAGAATGATTTATCAGTAAATGGAAATCAAGAAGGGAATCTAATTTTTCTGGAAAAATGCATTTTAGGAATATATTGAACATATATATGAAGTCTCACCCTTGCCTACCTCCCAGTCCCCTTACCCAAATCGATTCTTTTTTCCTGTAGCATTTATCACTCTCTAATACAGTTTACTTAGTTGTGATATTTACTGACTATTGTCTGTCTCCTTCTACCTGAAGAAGCTCCACAAGGGCAGGGATTCTGGGGGGTTTTGTTCATTGGTGTGTCTCAAGCATGTTGAACTGGCATGTAATAAGTGCTCAATAAATATATGTTAGCTGAAAGCATGGGTAAACTCAGCACCCAAGAAACAATATCCACCATGCAGTTTAAAAATAATAACACATATTGAGAACTTGTTCCATGCAAGGCATTGTTTGGTGCTTTAAACTGAGGCACAGAGTGGTAAAGAAATGGCTTAATCAGGAAAGTGGCAGAGCCAGGATTCCAACCCAGGTTAACTGATTCTAGAGCTCACACACATCATGTGCCTCTCACTTTATGTCACCATCTCGTGGGGTGAAGAGGCAAGATGGGAGGGGCTGAAAGAGACTGGGAATCAGATTCCCAACCGTAGTAGCTGAAACGAAGCAGAAGCTGAGAATATAACAAAAGACTAATGATAGATGCTTAGCTTCTCCAGGTTTCTTTTCCTAACCAGAATGCTATTGCTGATGTTGGTTGGCTTGTGAATTTTTGTGACATCTCTGTGGATCTATATTATTGCATTTTAATAACAGGTTAAAACTATTCATTCTTCAGAAGTACTGTACTTGGAGAGCCCAGTTTTAACAACAACAACAAAAATCTCTTGTTTTATGAAATTCACTATTGAGCTCATATACACCAGGTATTTTAAGTGTTGTAAAAAAAAAAAGGTGGTACATCTGACAGCCCTAAATAGCAGCCTCAGGAAGTCTACCTCTTAAGTGATGATGCTCCTTTGTCCATTAGAATACAGCAGAATACCGGGGTATCTTGTGAGTCCCCAGGAGCTGAATGGAAATGCAGGCATGTTATATCAGAAGCAGTCCACATTTTCACCTCTAGCTACTGAAAGCAGTAGATTGCCAGATGCACACTTGAAAAGTTAAATCAAAATCCTTTGAAGAGGTGGTTCTGATAATTTTACTTTCAAAAGGTAATTTTGGAAAACTATGTCACATGTTAAATTTTTTAGACAGTCTACCTGCTCTCCTACAAGTAAAGGGTCTTTTTACTGTAACAGCTACAGCTTATACTTGAATGTGCTTATTGCTATATGTTGAAATATCTAAATAATGTAAATTTTATAAAAACAAATATAAAATATCTACTTCTGACTTAAGTTGAAAGTCCCAGTCTATCAAACTAATTTAACATACCACCCACTTCAGTTTCACACCTTTTAGCACTGGAGAAAACTGAAACTATGTGACTGCTCCAGAAGGAGACAGAATTTTTGTTTTCTCTCATTCTAGTTTGTATGTGTAGTCAAAAGATGTCTGAAGCCTGCCAGGAAAACAGCAGTGGAACCTGACCTGCTTGTGGGGAGATCATTGTATGTTTTAAAAGGTAAGTGATCCAACAAGGACCAACTGTATAGCACAGGGAACTATATTCAATATCTTGTAATAACCTATAATGGAAACAAATGTGAAAAAATATATATATGTAACTGAACCACTTTGCTGTTCCTGAAACATTGTAAATCAACTATACTTCAATTTAAAAAAAAAAAAAGTAAATGATCATGTTTCAGCAATTCAGTAAAATTTATGTCATGGACACTTAATTACATCTCTCTAGGCCTCCTGAATTTCTTCAATTGTATCATGTGAGCTTCTTCAATTGTTTCATGTGAGTTTTAGCCTAGACTCTCCAACGCCTTGCCCCCAAAGTCTAGATTTCTTAGGGTGTCTTCATGATTTTTACCACGTGTGTATACCACTGAACTATTATTTATAACCATTTTTCTTTAAATAGGCCAGCTTAAAATAATCTAAATATGTTGATTTTTAAAATAAAAATTTGCATGACTACTAAAAAGGAAAACCAGCATCATTTTCCCTAGCTAGAAAGTAGCTATAAAAATAATTACAATGAAAAATAAACACAGACTTACATCTTAGTTAGGTATTGTCTTCAGAAGCTGTGATACTGAGACTGGCTCTTTCTGTGATAGAAAAGAAGATGAACAAGTTTTAGAGACAGAGAATTGAGTTATCAAAAAGATGAAAAGAGTTGAAAAAAATGAACTTCTTCACTATGGCATTTATTGCATTTGAAATGTACTGTCCCATGTACCACCCCCTTTGACACCCATCCTACATTTTGGAAAGCCACTACCCTAGGTAATCCCCAAGATTCATTTTGGCTCTAATCATATAGTTTAGCAGAAAGCTCAAGTTTTGGGGTCAGACAGGCATGGATTCCATATGCCCTATCCAAGCCTCAGTTTCTTTATCTGTAGGATGAGGATAATAATATAT